CGTTACAATGATTCTAGATCATGGTGTTTTATTCCGTAAGAGTACACCACAATGAACCGTAACCTAACCTGGTCCTGGTAAGATGGAGCACATCCTGGCACGGGGGCTCGAATTACGTGTACATACGCGCAAAAATTTTGATTCAACCCCCATCGGCCAGATCTTGAGTGCTTCTTGCCGCAGAAATTCTATGTCCTGCCCTCTTAGTAATTTGATTACATATGCATAATGCGCGTGTCAAGGCGACGAGACATTTGTTCTTGACATCGAATCATTTTGCTTTCCGTGCTTTACATTTTTATATTTTAATTAAACGTCTGCTGTTTATTTTTATTTCGATTAATCTAATATGTTATTATTCTCTTGTTTATATATTTTACACTTTATCTTCGACTTTTAATGTAGGAGATATTAATTAAATTGAATTAAATTAAATTAATAATAAAATATGAAAATATTAATTAAATTAAATTAAATTAATATTAAAATATTAATTAAATTAAATTAAATTAAATTAATATTAATATGTTAATATTAATTTAAATATTAATTAAATTAAATTAAATTAGTATTAAAATATTAAAATACTAATTAAATTAAATTAAATTAATATATGCAATTAATATACCTTTCAATATATAAAATCAAATTGCATTGATTTTACATTCTGGATCTGTGTAGACAGATCCGAAGGAACATTTTTATAGATCATTTCTTTACATTTTCGTAGCAAATACATATGTATTTTATTGTTAGTTGCAGATTAAAATGATCGGTAATGTACAAACATACGATTTGTTATATATATATATATACGTATATGTTACGAAGACCGGTGGGTGAGAGAGTTGATTTTAATCAATTAGGGACACGCGCCTGAATCAATTACCCAACCCCCCGCTGATTGCGACGAATATTGGGTGTTTGGTAATAAACTCATGCTCATTACTCTCTCAATTGATTACGTACAATCAATTCTCAGTAAATGAAAAAACTCAAAACTCCTTTAAATTGTAAAGAACGAAAATAAATTGTATATTGAATTTAATTTATTTGCGAGTAAATAAAATTTGTTAAAGTTATTCTATCGAGAGAATTCCCTGTGTCGATCATACGAAATTGCTATTATAAAATTATTTATAGTTCTGTGGAAGATTGGTTAATGCGGAAAGTTTACAATCCAACGCGTGTAATTTTCTCGTAGACAGCCTTCAGCGTAGCTATGTCATCATTCAGGAAAGATTGCGATGACGTTTCTAGAGTTGTAAGAATTCTCACTGCGAGTGATTCATTTTCGATTCATCATATAGCAGATCTTGTAGATTATGTAGATTGAGCGAGGATAGGTGATATTTCATAACGTTGATACGATTTGTTTCTTCTTTTTTTTCTTCTTTATTTCAGAGAATTATTATATTTTATTTGATTCTCGACTCATTAAATAACAAGCAACAAAATAATGAAAAGAAAAAAACTATGAGGATTTCTGTGATTTATTGTAGTACACAATGAATAAGTCAATTATTACAAAATTTTTACAATTGTATTTATCTAGAAGAAGAAGGATTATTATATAAATATAAATTTATATAAAATTATATTATATAAATTTATACTAATTTATATAAATTTATACTATAAATTTAAAAAATTTATACTATAAAAGTTGTACTATAATTTATACTATAAAAGTTATACTATAATTTATATAAATATTATACATATTTATATTATATTATATACATATTATACAAATTTATATTATATTGTATGAACATTATACAAATTTATATTATATTATATAAATATTATACAAATTTGTATTATATTATATACATATTATACAAATTTATATTATATTATATAAATATTATACAAATTTGTATTATATTATATACATATTATACAAATTTATATTATATTATATAAATATTATACAAATTTGTATTATATTATATACATATTATACAAATTTATATTATATTATACAAATATTATACAAATTTATATTATATCATATAAATATTATACAAACTTTATACTAAAGTATAAAAATTATGACAGATGGCAAAGAGTAGGGAAAAATTTGTAATAATAAAATAATAATGACTATTATATTAATTATATTATATTAGTTATATTAATATTAACAGAACTCAACTTACTTTCGTTATTAATTATTGTCACCTACTCTCACAGGCTCTTCTTGCATCCAACGCAGCGCAGACCTCGTTCAACAAACGTTTCAACGAGCAATAACAATTCAACAAGTTCGTTCAATAAACGAACATTGCATCGTAGGTCGCGAATATGTATGTGTTTACGATGGTTAAAATTCTCTAAACTTGGATAGTGCGGCTCTCGATCGATCGGAGCAATACCACCTCGAGCACGTTGCCATTTATTTGTCGAACGTGTGCACGTTGCCGTGATTAGTTTACAGTTTCAATAATGTCGCGGGGGAAATATGCACGACCCATTAGCCCTACGCAAACGCTATGGACAATCGCCACGGGTGCAAGATAAAATAAATACGCGGCTCGTCGTCGTGCTCTAATTCCCTTGGAATTAGCTCGTAAATCATGCCTCACGACCGACTCGTGCGTCTCGTTTTTCGCTATTTAGCAGCAGGCATAGGACACAATGGACCGGTAATTATCGTTGATGCGATACACACGAACGATACGATTTTTCCCAGCAAAGATTTACACGATGACAACTTCGTGACAAATCGTACTTTTCGTATTCGCGGAACTGAGAAGGAGCACGCTGTCAAACGGATTATGAACAGTTGTAAATTATGTCTGTTGCTCAACTTGGAATGTTAACTTCCATCGGACAGGAGGTTTTGATCGTTCGTTTTCTACGTTTGTCTCGATCGATTGAAAGAAATAAATTTCTGACGAACGACACGTGGGTTTGTACAATTAATTGCATTTAATTGTGTAACCTCGACGATAAACGAAAACGGTCGTTTTCGCAAAACCAGATGATAGATCGGAAGTTCTAGGAAATTTCTTACATCCGTCATTATATTTCTGACTCAACCTACGACACAATAGTGCGTGCATCCAACATCCGTCGTTCCAACATTTTCACTGCAAAATTTCGCATTGATTGTAACAAAATTTCGGTCAATGGAGTATGTAGAATTTAATGAAAAAAGAAAAGAAAAGAAGGAATGGAATTACTTTTGTAAATTTGTTATTTAGTGAGAGATGTTTCGAATGACAGTAAATTCTAAGGTAAATTTAAAAGATGGTGGTTGTAACATTATTGTACCAGTTTCTGCTTTTCCATGTATAATTATTTCTAAATAATTATACAAACACGTTATCACAATTGTCAAACATGTTTATAAAAATACGTATATTAATATATTAAGCAAAAGAAAAGAGTGAATATTTCAAATCAATTGTACTTCTTCCTACACACATAATATTATTTATTATTATCACATTATTACTATATTATTAACATTTTTTTATACATTATCTTTCAATATATAGATAATAATCAATATAAAATATACAATAAAATACTATATAATAATAACTAATAATACCAACAACTTAATTAATAATTAATAATAATTAATAACAATATATAATAATGATAATCAATATATAATATTTATATATTATCTATCAATATCATTGTTACTTGCATAGTTGTACATACTATTATTAATTTGTTAAATTCCTGAATTTAACATTACCACATTATTATTAACATTTATATATAAATAAGTATCTATCAATATAAAAATAAATATGTAAATTTATATATACATATTATAAATATATAATGTAATATAATAATATAATAATAATAATTAATAACAATATATAATAATAATCAATGTATAATATTTATAAATTATCTAACAATATCATTACTATTTCTACTGTTGTACACTATATTTGTACATTATATTAATTTGTTAAATTCTTGAATTACATTATCATATTATTACTATCTATTATAATATTATTATATTATTAATTATATTATACTATTATATTACTATCATACTATAATGTTATTATATTATTAATTATATTATACTATTATATTACTATCATACTATAATGTTATTATATTATTAATTATATTATACTATTATATTACTATCATACTATAATGTTACTATATTATTAATTATATTATACTATTAAAATTTATATATTATCTATCAATATCATTGCTATTTGTACAGTTGTACACGTTATACTTGTACACTGTATTAATTTGTTAAATTCCCGTATTACATTATCATAATTATTACCATGTTATAATATTATGATATTATTACTTTATTATTAACATTTATATATTATCTATCAATATATAATATATAATAATCTATCAATATATAATATATAATAATATTAATTAGTAACAATGTATAATAATAATAATCAATGTATAACATTTATATATTATCTATCAATATCATTGCTATTTACACAGTTGTACACACTATATTTGTATATCGTATTAATTTGTTAAATTCTCGAATTACGTTACCACATTATTACCATGTTATAATATTATCATATTATTACTATCTTATTAACATTTACACATTATCTATCAAAATATAGATAATAATCAGTATACAACATATAATAATAATGATTAATAACAATACATAACAATAATAATCAATGTATAACATTTACACATTATCAATATGATTGCTATTTGTACAGCTGTACGCGCTACATTTGCATATCATATGTCAATTTTTTTCAATTATCCAAATAATCACATTTGCGACGCTCAACTCGGCAATCACTTCGCTGGAAGAAATTCGTTCAATCGTAGGAATTATCCGAGCTTGTCCCTGTTCGACACTCCCTAGGAACGGGTAAACTTCCATCGTACGATCTGTCTGTCGCCGATCGCCTCGGATAAATGAAGTTTCACTGTTGGCGCATAAAACGGCGCGATATCCCGCCGGTGGCGGCAGACGGTGAACGGTTTCGTACGGTTTCGCGTGATCCGGAAGACCGGCATGCAGGTGGAAGGATGTGGAGGTTAAGGCGATATTCGCAGCGATCGACGGGGAGTAATCGATCGGGCCGGGCAGGATGCGACGGTGATGGCAAAGGAGAGGATCGAGGAAGTAACGAAGGCTGGAATGCGCGGCCAGTCTCGCGCGAACCATCGAGCCGAGCGGGTAGATTCACGACGCGTCGTCTCGTCTCTCTCCTGTGTTCTTCGTTCGGCGATCGTTGTCGATTGGCAACTAACTGGCTCTACGTTTCCAAGTCGAAGCTGAAAGCTGTCCATCGCGTGATATATAAACCGTACTGTGTCGTCCGTGTGTGTCCGTTTTTCACCGAGTTTTCACTTCTCATCACTGCGGAGCAATTCCACGTGATTTCCACGGGGCTCTTTGGCAATTTATACCAAGCCGCCGCCGCTCAGTTAACTGTTCATGGTAGGTGAATCTCTGCGAGTGTATTCACATACTCAGTATATCGATAGTGCGATGGAATGTATCATTTTCGCGTGATAATTGTGATTGGAAGAGTATGGATTTTTATATGATGTGTAAATGTAAATTTATAAATAAATATGTATAAATATATATGTAATATTAATATATATAATATATGTAAATATATATATATATAATTTTATAATATATATAAATAAATATATAAACATAAACATATATAATATATATTATAATATATATAAATATATTATATGTATATTATAATATATAAAAATATAAAATATATATTATAATATAAATAAATATATAAATATATAATATATGTATATTATAATATATAAAAATATAAAATATATATTATAATATAAATAAATATATAAATATAAATATATATAATATATATAAATATATTATATATATTATATAAATTATGTATTTTATTTATTAATTATATACATATTATAAATATTTAAATATATTTATTACAAGCATGTATTATTATATATTTAAATAAGCGAAATAGGTGAATGGGATTGAAAAAAAGGATTGGTTTCTTCCAACTATTCATGGCAGGTGATAATATTATGGAAATCTAGAGAAATGGAACAGGATTTCTGTGTGAATTGATATTTTGATAAAGAAGTAGAAAACTGGTGGGATTTTAATGAATAGAGAAGTAGAATTTAAAAGACAGAGAAATAGAATTTAAAATGAGCAGAAAAGTAGGATTTAAGGGGCAATTTGGTTTATCTAACTACTCGTGGCAGAGAGATCTTGAGAAATGGAGTCACAGATCTATCATCCTCGTGAGATAATCGTGATTTAATGAAGTGCGGATTTATATTTTGATACGGAAATAAAGAACTCTTGAATAAATGAAGAAATAGAATTTAAACAAGCAGAGAAGTAGAGAAACAGGACTTAAAGAGAGAGATTCGGTTCGTGGCAAATAAATTTTTTTTTCACGCAAAATTGAAACCGTAGATCACTTTCGTGAGATAACTGTGATTAATAGAGCGTGCAATTGGAAAATTTTTATACACATCTACATTCTGATAGAAGAAACAGAGACTTGCAGAAGTCGAGAACTATAGAAATTAGATTTAAATAAATAAATAGGATTTGAAGGAAGATCCGTTTTGTCTCTAACACCCGGAAAAATTATGAAAAGAAAAGAAATATTCTCTATACCTTCGAACATCGCACGCGTTCTGTACATTTTCGTATCCTGAAACTAATTGTACAAAGTTTCTCTGTCGTGTAAAATATCGATAAGCACGACGGACAGTTCGGTTCAGTTTAAATAGAAAATTCTTGCTGCCGCTTCAACTGAGCTGAATCAAATTGAGTTTACTAGTTTCTCAATTATCTTGCCTCCCTAAAAGTTAGGAAGCTTTTCAGTGACTAGCGGCATTTCCGGAATTTCGACTAGCCCGGCATAGTTGAAAGGAATTGAATTTTATGGAGACGGAATATATGTCGTGTACTACATAACGAAAATTTCCTTTCTTTTTGTTTTCCTCCGAATTCTGCAGATTCGTTCGTTGAAAATTACCCTTTCGTGTGAATTTAATTTTGTTCAGAGAAACAAACATTCATTGGCACGGATATAATTGTGAAAGATTCGTGAAAGAAATGTGAAAGATTCTTTTCCGCTCAATAACTTTACAACGTATCTAGCCGTAAATAGTAATTTGATAGTTACCTTATGACTATTCGGAATATCTCCAAGTATCATAAACTGTGTTGTATATATTATCAAGTTTTGTTTGTAATTGTTGTTGCGACATTCGGCACGGAGTAGAGAATTCTTGGGAAGTTTTCGTTCACTAATTGATATGCCGTAGGCCTTCACCGGTGAGTTTTGGTCTGAGGAAAGGAAATCACGTATATACGAGTCTACACTTACGTCTGTATAAATAATAATCGCTATCGTTGCCGTGCAACTGTGACATAATTTTTGTGATCAGTGTAGAGGAAACAAAAGGAACTGCGAGCTTTCAGCTGCGTTTATATAAGAGATACAATTTAAAAAATAGTTAAATAATTATTAGAAACTTTTTTATTAATGTTGTGTCATTATTCATTGATTAATATTAATTATTGACGTTTGGCAATATTATTTTTTCACTACAACATTAATATATATTTATTATATATTTATTATATATTTATTTAACTGTTCGCGTATTCAACGAATACTTTTACTAAATTATTGTCTCTTCGTATTGAAGTGTATTGTAATTTGAGGGTCACCTAATGCAGAACAAAACAAACTCAGTAAGATATAATAATATATAGAAACATACATATACATATTTGTGTATTCGATAAAAGATTATAAAATATTCAAGATATATTTAATATATTTAATAAAATTTTATAACTTTAATTTTTAAATGTTTCAATATTTTTTATACTTTAATATTAATAATAATATTTATTAATAACAATATAATAATAGTATTTAATATTTTAATATTTTTATTTTTAAAATATTCTAATATTTTATTTTTATTAAATATAAACTCGAATTACAACAATTTGAGAGATTCAATCTTTAAGACCGTGGTGGATTTGGTAAATTTTTTAGTTTTCATTCGAATCTGTAAAATTTTCGAGAGGAAAAGCATTTTTGTTTCTTCTCTTTTAAAATGATGCAAAAATACATTTGAAAGGAGCGAAAGTAGAAGATTAGATTGTTCTATGATTTTTTTCTCTTACAAAATTACAGCACCCTAAGTGTGTCGATAATTTTTCATCCTGTGTGTGAAGATACTGTATCAAATAGAAAAATGGTCGATGCTATTAAATTACTGTAACTTTGTCAAAAAAAAAAAAAAAAAGAAAAAAAAGAAAATCGCGAATCCTCTAGAGTAAGTAAAGATATTTCCTCTCTCGAAAATTTTACAAATGTATATATATATATTATAAATAAATATATAATATATCATATAATAATAGTAATTAATAACAATATATAATAATAATCAATGTATAATATTTATACATTATCACTATCAATATCATTGTTATTTGTACTATTGTACACACTATATTTGTACATTATATTAATTTGTTAAATTCCTGAATTACATTATCATAATATTATCATATTATTAATTATATTATATTATTAACATTTACATATTATCTATCAATATATAAATAAATGTGTAAATTTATATATACATATTATGAATAAATATATATTTACTTATATATTTATATAAATAAATATATAATAATATATTACATAGTAAGAATAATTAGTAACAATGTATAATAATAATAATCAATATGTAATATTTATACATTACGTAAAGATGCTTCCTCTCTCGAAGATTTTACATATTAAAAAGAACGTCTTTTTACGGGCACAGAATAAATTTTCTCGCAACTAAACATCCGTCCCAAATCTCTGCTCGAAATTTGTCGTGCAATTTCTAATTTTTTTCCGAGTTTGCAACATCTCGCTAATAAACAGAGTTTCACGGCGATTGTGTTAACACGTAATTGCTTATATTGGCCGAGGCAATCGGTGGCTACCCGTCGTTTGATCGCGCAGAGGTTTAATTGATTCGTTAGCAATGAAAGGCGACGGCCAATTAGAAAGATCTTTTCCCCGACCGTTTAAAGATCGGCCCGCCAAGTTCCCATTGGCGTGTTTACTCGCGAACGTGAAGTTACTTTTAACGATCGCTTCGCCTTCACCCTGTTTACACCGCAGAGGAAGTTTCACCTGGGACAATGCTCCAATGACAGCCTTCGTCTACGAGTATTTCGTCATAGACGTGTAATTGCGGCATGTACGTGAACGTCTGAAGGATAGAAATGAGTACAATGGATTGTTCGACAAACACGAATGCGCGTAAAATCAATGTTATTTACGTGCGTTTTCTCAGTAAGGAACGACGATCGGTTAAACTGTTGAACTACCGGTAATTTTCGTGTTTTCTTTTCTTTCTGCGAGAAATTCGTCTGTGGGGAAATTGATATTTTTGCGTTTCTCACAGCGACTGACCTTGAGACTGTGAACAAATTTTTTTACATAATATAACAGTGTAAATAGTGTACAGCGAATAAATAATATATTTAAAAAGAAGTATATTTAAAAAAAAAATTGAATTAAAGTGTATAAATAATATATTGTACATATAAAAAAAAAGATATATATAAGAGTATAAATATTAACAGTTATAAGCAATTTTAGAATAATTAAACAGATTTTAAATAGATTTAGAAAAGTTCTGTTCGAAGATGTTTCAGTTATTCAACAAGTGGAAATTGTTTTTTTTTTAGTTAATCTCATATTATATCATCATCGAAAATACCATTACATATGTCCTCTCTATGTACTTCGAAAATTATTTTCGAAAGAGTACAGTCTGTGTAAACGAATGTATAATTTAACTTCAATATTTGCTTATCAGCGGCCAAATAACACCGAGGAATATAAAAATTGGAGCGAACTCACGTGGTTTAAAATTGTTGATTTTCGCGTACATTAATAATCGATTCTGTTATTTCAATATTCACAATCACTTGTCGTAATGTCGTGAACAATATTTTTCTTCGAGTTGTTGAATTGAGGTATACTTGGTATAATCTTGAATTTGAAACTTTAATGTAACATAATTAACGAAATGTTTCTCGACAGTCTAGTTATATTTTCATTCAAATATCAAATATCAAATTTTTTATCATAATTATACTTTATAATTGATTTATTTTTTAGTTTCATTATAATTACAATTTTATTATAAGTATTTATAATGTTATATAATATATTATAATATATATAATAATGTTACTAATATATAATATTAATAATATTATAATATATATATAATATATTAATTTATAGTAATTTATAGAATTAAAATTTATAATATAATGATATAATTTTACAGTATAACATGATTATAATATAATTTATAGTGTAATATTATTTAAAATTTATAACACAATAATATAATTTTGTTGCAACTATATTATTATGTAAATTATATTATTATATTATATTATTATATAAATAAAGTTTTAATTGCAAACACGAATATGTAATAACATAATTTCATTCTGAATCTTGCCGCTTTCTGCCGAAAAAAAATTAAAACTAAAATTAAAGTTAAAGTCAACCATACAACTCGAATTTAATTTAACATTCTCCAAACGTCTCTGAACGTTCACATTTATCAACAATCATTCAATATTAATCCTCCGTTTTCAAATTCCACATTTCCTCTCCGATATTAACATCAACTTCATTGAAAACGTTATAATATAATTAATAATATAATTTATAGTATAATATTATTTAAAATTTATAACACAATAATATAATTTTGTTATAACTATATTATTATATAAATTATATCATTATATATTATTATTAAAATAAAGTTTTAGTTGCAAACACGAATATGTAATAACATAATTCCATTCTGAATCTTGCCGCTTTCTGCCGAACAAATTAAAACTCGTCAAACATACAACTCGAACTTAATTTAACATTCTCCAAACGTCTCTGAACGTCCACGTTTATCAACAATCATTCAACATCAATCCTCCGTCTTCAAATTCCACATTTCCTCCCCGATATTAACATCAACTTCATTGGAAACGTTATCACGACAGGATCATAATATCGGATGTCCTTAATCCAATGTTCTTATTTTCCTTTTTTTCTTTGTTGTTTGTCAGGTTTACGCGTGATATGACCCAGTCCCGCGAGGTTTTGGCGATGATGGACACACACACGACAACGTTCGGACGTAAAAGAGGCTGCACAGTCTCCCCCTGCGGCGCTTTCCTCTTCGGCGCTGCCTTCCTCGTATCCTTGGTTGTGACCGGGCTTCTGGTCTATCATCTCGCCCCGTGTCTCGAGGATAAGCTCGTTAAATCGTGCAACAATTTCGGCAATTCGGTGTTCGAGGGCCGCGGCCTGTTCAACAAAGACACGTACGGCAAGAAGAAACTGGACGTCCGGCTACCAAGCTCCGTGGTGCCCGATTCGTATGAGTTGGGCCTGATACCGTTCATACAAGTGGGAAACTTCACATTCCATGGCGAGGTACGAAACATTTCTTTTTCCATCTCTTCGCATCTTTCCTGAGCTTTCCAACTAGATATCCTCTGAGAAACTCTTTTGCTAAAGCGAAGGATGCTTTGATCGACAGAATGTGCACTGAAAGACTGAAGGTCTTTGAGAAAGTCATAACTTGTTCATTTACAAAATGGTGGCCATACACGTAATATTGTGTAATTAAAATCTATTAATTATATTTCCAAATAAAGTAATGAAAAATTTTAAAAACACGTGGTTGTAAAAGTTTTTTTTTTTATATCGTTCAGCCTTTCAGTGACCACCCTGTACATTAAATATTCAAATTGACATAATTTTGTAAAAAAAAAAAANTATTTTAATATTTCTATATTTGATACTTAATATTTTAATATTTCTATATTTGATACTTAATATTTTAATATTTCTATATTTGATACTTAATATTTTAATATTTCTATATTTGATACTTAATATTTTAATATTTCTATATTTGATACTTAATATTTTAATATTTCTATATTTGATACTTAATATTTTAATATTTCTATATTTGATACTTAATATTTTAATATTTCTATATTTAATAATTAATATTTTAATATCTTAATATTTCCTTATTTAACACTTAATATTTTATTATCTTAATATTTCTATATTTAATACTTAATATTTTAATATTTCTATATTTAATACTTAATATTTTAATATTTGTATATTTAATACTTAATATTTTAATATTTCTATATTTAATAATTAATATTTTAATATCTTAATATTTCTATATTTTAATATTTTAATACTTAATATTTTAATATTTTAATATTTCTATATTTAATAATTAATATTTTAATATCTTAATATTTCTATATTTAACACTTAATATTTCTATATTTTAATATTTTAATACTTAATATTTTAATATTTTAATATTTCTATATTTAATACTTAATATTTTAATATCTTAATATTTCTATATTTTAATATTTTAAAAGTTAATATTTTAATATTTTAATATTTCTATATTTAATAATTAATATTTTAATATCTTAATATTTCTATATTTATTACTTAATATTTTAATATTTTAATATTTCTCGTCTCAAAAGTGCTACAAATTGTCATAGTGTGTAAAAACATAGAACAATCTTTCTCACGGCTAAATCTACGGTTGAATTTAAAGATTGAAGCCTCCTCTTTAAACGAGCTGTTCTTTTTTGCTTTACTGTACGTGTATCGTTATGTTTTGGCTTCTTCTTCGTCCAATTTTCAAGCGTGTCCTTGAACAAGAATTCCCTACCAACGTGAAGGACACCTTAATTAACATATGTACGTGTATCATCGACATGATTGGACAGAAACTGGTTGTTGGCTAATTTGAATGAATTTCATAACCATGCTAGCTGTAAATGCAAATTACTCGTAAACTGTTATACAAATAGCGTTTAATAAAAACAGTAAAAATGGTTTAGTTCATTTGTTGATGAATTCGAAGTCGCATACGAAGATCGCCTCTATTTTTTTTAAATGAAATGGTATATTGTTTAATCAACGTAGCTCATCATTTCTTACAAAATTGTATTAAGCTACTTATGTTGGGAAGTCGTTAGATTTTAATCATAATTTTGTAAAATTTGTACGAAAAACAAGGAAAGACAGAAAAATTTCAAATATCTTTTACAATAATAATTTTTCGACATCCGTATGTCAATGCTTCTTTTTACAGAGAATGTCGAGCATCAACTAATGGATAAAAAAATGTATTTCGTTTAAAAAATCATAGGTGATCTTCCTGAATTAATAAAGTTTTACGAACAATTTTCATTTATAGATTAAAATTAGACATCTTGTATGTCAGTATAATATTCAATGGTGTTTCTTCGGGATGGGTGAATTTGTTTTAAAAGAATTGACCGAGAATATCTCTTAAATGAAGCGGAACTACTCGTTGGATGTTGAAGGATAGTTGATTCATTTAGTGCAGTGTTTCTCAACTACACAGTTATTCATTTAATTGAGAACAATTAATCGTGTCTCTTTTGATTTTTGGAATTAATTTGTATACGTTAATTAATTTGTTTTTACGTTTCTTTTTGGCGATTGTCTTAATTCTCTATAATCAAAATTAGTCACCTACTCCAATTTTAATTCCGGCAAGTAGTAATTGTTATAAATAAATTATTTGGCATTTTTGCAATGCAAATAGACAAAATAAAATTTCCAAAATATAGACACGTACGTAAGATCATGTAAAATATGTACAAAGTTACAGAGGAATCAAGTCAGTCCTTAATTAATAAAAGTTCGTAATTAAAAAATTATGAAAAGAAGTACTAAAAATGTACTGAATATGCAGATATGCGTAGAAATGTATAAAATTTTCAAGGTGCATAAAATATAAATTATCCATCGAATCCTTCATGTCGTAAAAATTCTATTTAAACATAAAATATATAAAATATAAAAATATATAAAAATATAAAATATAAAATATATATATATATAAAATATAAAATATAAAAAATATATATATAAATATAAAATATAAAATATAAAATAAAAAATATAAAAAATATATATATAAATATGAAATATAAAATATAAAAAGTATATATGAAATTATAAAATATAATATATATATATACATAAAAATATAAAATATAAAATATATATATATATACATAAAAATATAAAATATAAAAAATATATATATATATAAAAATATGAAATATATATATATATATAAAAATATAAAATATATGTATATAATTAGTTTTAGAAATAAAAATTTTTATTAAAAATAGAAATAAAAATAAATAGCTTCAGAAATAAAAATTTTTATTTAAAATAAAAATAGAAATAAATTTTAAAAATACTATTTCAATAACCTCGACTGTTTTTTATTTTCTTACGAAGAATCATTCGCCGAGCGTTCCAGATAGAAATTCCAAGTGCCCATCGATGTTTTATCACATCGATGAATAGAATGGAAGAAGTGTCTCACTTTAAATTCAACGCTTTTAATATAATGTAAGGAATATTCACGGTCCCCTCGTAACGCTTGGAAACCTTTGTTCCATTTTATAATTGCCACGCGATTTCCCGCGAAAAAAGAGTATTACGCATCGCGAATTTCCGCGAGATTGTCTCCGCGTTTTTCGCGCGTTTCGCGTGCTCATCCGTTTTGTAACATTCTCAGAAAACCAAGAGGCATGCTCGCCGACGAATCAAGAAGAGAAACAAGTATTAATCGCGTGTTTGATGAAAATTAGTCGCAATGTACAGACGAGTTCTCGAGGATGCGTCTGTACATTAATTTTTTTCAAACAATCGCGGGAAACTGTCAAGTACAAAGAGCGAACGATTTCTTCTTCGCTGAAGAAGTGGATACGGCTTTGAGAGTATTTTAATTCGAAAGATGTGGAACAAGAGGCGAATGATTAATTCCTAGTCCCCGATGGCATCTCGACGTTTGATCTTCTCCTTTATGCATTCGTGCAAAGAGCATTGAAATGCTCCGATGATAAGTTGTCACAGAGGGGGTGAAAGTAGCCAGCGTAGCTAGAAAGTTGGCGATCGTCGTCGTTTTCCTTGTTCAGCGCGATCGTTTTTTTCACTCGATGCCGGAAATAACGAAGCGACAAGGACAAGCAACGAAGAGAAGAAATGTTTTAAAGATATTGTAGCGTATAATAATAAAAAGAGATGCAAAGTCAGTTTAAGAAACGGAATTTAACTTAGATAGAAAAACGTTCTTAATCATTTTTCTGTCTCATCGAGCGTAGTTGGAAAATTTCGAAAATGCTGGAAGATAATTATTTGCGTGTACATACACGTAAATGTGATTTCTTGTGGCTGACGAAAGTATTCCAACACTCGACACAGGAAATTTTTATCAATGTACTTTGTATTTGGGTTATTGAAATTTTAATATATTTTTTATAATTATTGATATTAATATATAATAATTATTATTATTTAATATTAATAATATTATAAATAATAATAATTATTGTATATTATTATTAATTATTATCATTAATATTAATGTATAATTATTAATCATCATAATTTGTAATTGTACGTATATAACATTTTCTTCGATTTGACTTACATTTCTCAAAAATCAAAAAAGTATTTCAAGTTCAAGTGAAATATAGAAAAAAAATTCTTATCAATATACACGAGAGTCTTCAGAGTTCAAGTTTCACGTTAAACTTTCTTTTTTAACTTTCATGTCGTAAAAATTCCATTTAAATATAAAATGTAAAAAAATATATATATAAAAATATAAAATATCTATATATATATATATATATATATATATAAAATATATATACAAAAATATAAAATATAAAATATAAAATATAAAATATAAAATATAAAATATACAGTATAAAATATAAAATATAAAATATATATGTAAAAATATAAAATATAAAATATAAAATATATATATAAAAATATAAAATATAAAATATAAAATATACAGTATAAAATATATACATAAAAATATAAAATATAAAATATATATATATGTAAAAATATAAAATATAAATTATATACATAAAAATATAAAATATAAAATATATATATATAAAATTATAAAATATAAAATATATATATATAAAAATATAAAATATATATACATATATATATATAAATATAAAATATAATATACATACATAAAAATATAAAATGTAAAATATATATATATATAAAAATATGGAATATATATATATAAAAATAAATAGTTTTAAAGATAAAAATTTTTATTAAAAGTAAAAATAAAAGTAAATTTTAAACTATACTATTTTAATAATAACCTCGACTATCTTTTATTTTCTCGCCAAGAATCAAAAATATTCTATGATCCCTTTTTCGTACTGAGTGCAAAATCGAGATTTGAACAAAATTTGAGGATCAGTGTCAGAGTCAATTAACTAATTAAACACTCAAACAGTTTTATTAGTCTATTCCAATTCTATTTCACTCAACAACGAGATATCGAATTGGTCGATAGAGTAAGGAGCCTTTTCGACTGTATGTTAATCCCAAAGAAAATCAGTACCGTGGCAAAGAGTTGAAATGATTTTCCTCTACGTTTTCCAGGTGAGGATTCTGGTGAACGTTACGGAGGACGCGAGGAACGTGACGTTGCACGCGGCGGACATGCACATCGACGAAAGTTTCACGAACATCAGGGAGTACTCGAACGCGAGCGTAAAGGCGGATAGGATAATCAAAATCACGGAGCAGAGGAACGACACCGAACGGCAGTTTTACGTGATTAGAACGTCAGACACGTTGAAGAGCGGCAGGCAATACATGGTGCATCTAAAGTTTGTTGGCCATTTGAACGACAACTTGCAAGGCTTCTACAGAAGCTCGTACACCGTTGGCAGTCAGACGAGGTAAACGCCTCGGCAATTTAATTCCATTCTGTAGGTGACAGCTATTCGTACGCAGTAAATTTAAACTGCTTTATCAAGCAATATCTCTGTAGTTGCCAGCCGGCTGATCTATTTGGAGCGGTTCGTTGAGACGTCAGTTACATCGGAAACCTCGTAATCGAACTGTGACAGTCTAAAAAACTTGCACTCGGAGCATCGTCTCTGTTTTTTTTTCTTTTTTTTTTTTTTTTGGTTACACAGATTATTTGGAAACATTAATATGTAAATGTCGTTTGTGTGATTCTGTTTCTTTTCTTTTCTTTTCTTTTTTTTTTTTCTTCTCCCGATTTATGATATTATCGTGAATATTCGTGAAATTACGCGAGACGCAGGAAGAAAATTGAGTGAAAAATAATGCTACCTTTTTATTGTGGTAGTCAAATATTTGCAGAAATTACAAATAGGTATATTTTGTATGATCTGAACTTTCGTAATGAAATTGTAAATTTCAACCAATGAGATACTTTATGTTCCGATATATAGAAAGAAACGTGTTTAACAAGTTTCTTCTTAATAATTACAGTATATGTAATAAATTTTGCGAAATACGGAATACACGATTTAACAGTTGCAGTCCGAGCAGTTGGCAATTTGTTATCTATCGATTCATGTTGAACGACGCAACTGTATACTTGAGCTTCCTTTAGTAACATGTATTTAATTTTATAGACAATGATTCAGAAATCCTTAAAACATTCTAGTGGAATTCTATTTGGAGATAAATAGTTAATTTAATTAATTTATAAATAAATTAAATTTATAATTAAATAATTAAGCAATTAAATTTAATTAATTTATAAATTAATAATTAAATTTCTATTAGTTTTAATTACAATTGAAGCTAACCTTTTAAAATAGTTAATTTAAATAATTCAATTTTCTTTCAAGAAAACGACAAAATTAACGTCACAGAACAAATTTTACACATTTGAATTTGAATGCTGAATTATTCGAATACTCTGTTCCTGCGAATACTGCGAACTGTCAGGTTAAGTTTTCGATCGTTCTTCAAAGAAAAGAACATTGTCCCATTATGATCGTCGAACGCGAATTTCACATTTGGTCGAAGTTTCAAATTCAGTTCAAACCTTCCCATCTTGCGTAAATCAAACTGTCGACGAACGAGCGCGCTTATCATTCGTCGAAGACGAAAACTTTCGTATCAATGTTACGAGGGAAGAAAGTATCGCGAGAGAGAAGAGAGAAAAAAAAACGGATAGGAGGAAATGAGATGGGAAGCTGAATTTTCACCGCGATTGCGTTTCGTTCGTTTATCTCGCGAGTTTCCCCCAGCATTGAGATCTCAGCTTTTCAACAGTTTGACGAAACTTTTTTTCTCTCTCCCTTGTCGACGATGTCTCTTCGCGGTGGCGAGAAAAAAACAAAAAAACAAAAAGGTGAAGATCCGTCCGGTGAATTTACACAACACGACATTATCATTTTCTCTGAGCAATTTCATCTGTCGCCAAATCGTTGAAAGCTGAATGCTGAAGGAGTTCTCCGGCGATTCTTCCAGCTGATAGCGTTACCCAACGATGAATGCAGCCGCGGAGCACTAGGAGCTATAAACACGGTCGCACTTGGTTCATTCTCAGTTGCATGCCTTCAAACTCAAACTAACGGAGAGAGAGAGAAAGAGAGAGAGAGAGAGAGAGAGAGAGACATAAAATGATATGTGTCTTATCTCGCGAGATAATGCATAGTAGCTTGCAACACTATTTGAACACTTGGAGTTCTACTATGTATTCGAAACGTTGGAATTTCATTGATGGCTGTGACCAGGCACGACAATCGTCATTACGATAGTAAAATTTGAAAACGTCAGAAATATACTTAAAGAAGATACTTGAAAGAGAAATTAAAATCATAATTTAAATGGTTCCTTCGAGATTCTTCGTTTCAAATAAATTTTAAATATTTATAAATTTAATACTTTTAAATATTTATAAATTTCATGAATATAAATTTAATACTTTTAAATGTTTATAAATTTAGTGTATATCAATTTTTAACATTTTAAATGTTTACAAATTTAATGTACATAAATATTTAACATTTTAAATGTTTATAAATTTAGTGTATATAAATTTTTAATATTTTAAATGTTTATAAATTTAATATATACAAGTTTTTGATATTTTAAATGTTTATAAATTTAATATATATAAATTTTTGATATTTTAAATGTTTATAAATTTAATGCATCTAAATTTTTAATATTTTAAATATATTAAAGGTATATATAATATTTTAAATATTTATAAATTTAATATATATAAATTTTTAATATTTTACATATTTTGAAGATATATATATCAAAATTATATAAATAAATATTATATATGTAAATATTATATCGAAATTTTTCTATTCAAATAGAATTTCAGAAATATTCAGTGGAAATATACACTTCGTTTCTTTATACTCGCACAATTTATCGATTAGTAAATGATTTTGATACGATTTAATGAGATTCTGCTTTTCGTCAACTTTTCAAATTTCAATTACAAAACGTTTGGATTTAAAATATAATTTTTCTGCCACTGTACGTTCTTTGTGTTTTAGCTTGTTAATTCGGTAGACTATACGATAGTGTATTAATCGATCTGAATTACGGAAAATCCAGTCTGTTAATAGTGGTAGAGCCATTATGGCCGTGCTTGTACACGTCCGGCCTTTGGTTTCAAGGATGAGGTTATGACACGTTAATTGCTATTGAGTAGATGTTGGATTCCTAAAGAATTAAATTAGAGGTCAAGACTTTTTTGCTTAAGTATTTAGTTCGTCATTATTTCAAACTCGTGCTTAAGACGCAATCATTTTTGCATTGTTGAGGCATTTACAGAGAAATTTATTCTCTCTCCTTGTACTCTTCGTGTCGATTTTTGTGGATTTATCTTGGAATTTATGAACGATTGACAAATATAATCAATAATTACGACAATTGAACTGGAATCTTTTGTATTTAGGAAAAATTTGGATGCACAAAAATGCGCATAATATGCAAATAACATGAATATTTAAAGTATAATAATTTTTAAAACATTAACTTATTAGTAGATGATTAATATTGAATAATTAGTAGAATAAAGTAATTTTCTATCTAGGTTCCATTTTTTAATAATAAGAACAATAATAGATATTAATAAAGGAGATATAAATATTAATAAAGATTGTAGATTTTTAAATTTTTACGTGCATAACTAAAGAAATGGAGCTCAAATAGATATTTGCTTCTTTTTATACTCCACTTGGATATTTTATATATTTTTGTATATTTTATATATATAATATAAAAAATATATGTATAATATAATATATAATACATAATAATTACATATATAATTATATGTGTAATAATTATACATATAATATAATATAAAATATATTTATATTTTTATATATTTTTATATATTTATATATTTATATATTTTTATATATTTATATATTTATATAAAATATATTTATATTTTTATATATTTAAAATATATAATATATTTTATAATAAATATATAATATATATTTTTACCTATTTATATGTATGTATTTTATATATTTTATTAGTTTGCACTTTGCAATTTTCCACAAGTACATAAAATATTCGCAGTCTACTAATTACTCTAGAATTACTACAGTGTGCCTTTCGAATTATTCTAACATTTACACTTGTCGAAACTCTTCTTTTCAATTTTAATTTCCTTGCCGATGAAACTATTCCATACCGAGGCCTGTCGCCATTTATCATTTTATTGTCAACGTTTCCTGTACCTTGTGTTACAGATGGATCGCCGCGTCACAATTCCAGCCGACAGATGCGCGACGCGCTTTCCCGTGTTTCGACGAGCCAGCGCTGAAAGCCACGTTTAAGATCAGCATCGCCCGCCCGAAGAACATGACATCCATCTCGAACATGCGTCGAATAGGAGAGCCTATGCCTGTGTAAGTGACTAAACCACTCGTACGTGTCCACGGAGGAAACGATTTCGCAAGACACGCGATACGTTGATTGGCATCGATCATTTGGAAACCATTGGATATTTCCTCGGTTTGGTAAAATGTTCGACAAGTCTGCAATCATTTTTTTCTTTAACTCATCTGCGCTGTGAATCTCGTGAATTACTTGCACTTTCTCGCAATTAGACTTTTGTGGATTTTTGTGAATATTTTGCGAGAAATCTCGCTGAGACTCCTGCATTTTTACGTCTTTCTTTTCTGTTCTTTTCTTTTTTTTTAATAGGCAAAGGAACTTTCAGTGTTTTTAAAAGCGTTTTTAAAAAAGTTTCAAGAACAACATTGGAGAAACTTTTTAGAAATTAGATAAATTTGATTTTCAATTTTTCAAAGGTACCAAATTCCTTTTCACTTTTACTGAAAAATTTTTGCATCTTAAGAAATTATGTATTTTAAAAATTTGTCTGTATTTTAATTTAATATATTCAAATTACATTTAATATTATTATTAAATTACATTTAATTTAATATATTTACATATATTTCAAAAATTTAAATATATTCAGTATTTTAAAAATTTAAGGAAATTAAATTTCTTGCTTGTCAAAAAGAATTGAGACAAATAAAATTTAAATAGACAGTCGTGTGTATTTACAATAATCATTTCAAAGCTCAGGAAATTGTTCAATGCAGCAGAGTATATTATTTCTTTGCTTGCCTCTATGAAAATTCACAGTTTAACGATAACGAAACACCACCTGCGTTTCTAAATATTTACGATACTTGTTTAAATATTTACCATTTAGATTTCGAAATTCAATAATCCTGAAAAATTGAAATTTCTTTGTAACTTTGAATTACGCGACGTCTTCGCCATAAAATTCACGAGGCACGTGCCTAACTGGCAATATAACTTGAGACGGATGTGACACTCTTATTATTTACGCGAATTGAACGCAGAGGTAATTTCTAGAACCAGTCCTATGTAATCAAATTGTTTGCGCGAGACGTGTCGTCCAAGTTAATTGTTCTGTAATCTTCTTCATTAGATCCCATAATTCTACTGTAAACATTCCTTCGCGATCGAGGAAGAAGGAAATAACAAAATAATTGCAGAATGTAACAGGAACTCTATTTTGGTCAATCAACATTTGGATCTGAAAATTATAATAAAATCTTAAAATTATTTATATACGTTTTCTAAATTTTATTCTCGTATATCAAACACAGTGTACGAGATCATCTATTCTTATCTAGAGAGAGATTTCGATTAGAAAATTTCCATAATTTTGGATATTAATTACAAAATGATAATTATATAATATTTCAAACTATTAAACCAAGGTTAATCAAGAATATAATATGTATGAAAATATATATAAAATATTGTAATTATAAAATATAAAATATAATATATCTATGAAAATATATATAAGTATAAAATATTATAATTATAAAATATAAAATATAATATATATATGAAAATATATATATAAGTATAAAATATTATAATTATAAAATATAAAATATAAAATATAATATATATGAAAATATATATATATATGTATAAAATATTATAATATTCTATATTTATATATATATATTTTTACAATATTATATGTTATAAATATAGAATATTATAAAAATATATATATAAATGTAAAATATTATAAAAATATATATTATAAATATAGTATATTATAAAAATATATATATAAATATAAAATATTATAAAAATATATATTATAAATATAGTATATTATAAAAATATATATATAAATATAAAATATTATAAAAATATATATTATAAATATAGTATATTATAAAAATATATATATAAATATAAAATATTATAAAAATATATATACGAATATAGAATATTATAAAAATATATATATAAATACAAAATATTATACGTATATATAAAATATCATAAAAATATAATAATAACCAAGAATTTCAAGAAATAAACAAACATTTATTTAACAATTTATAATTAATGCACGTATAATTAATTTCGCTATATAATATTTTATTTTTTATTATCATATTATGATCTTATTGTAATTTAATGTTTTTAGGTTAATTCTCATGAAATTCAACATTTCTTAATTTTAATTATAATACTGATTTTGTGAGACTTTCGTAAAACTTCTTCTAACTACAAATTTTATCGAATCTCGAGGTTTTTATTTTCATTTCGAAGCAGCCTTTTTATTTTTCACTTCTCCCATAATTTTGACAAATTCTTCGATCGTTTGACAAATTTTTATTAATGCTGTAACCAGGCCAGGTTTACCGACATACGTGTGGGACCATTACGAACGCTCGGTGCCGATGTCCACTTACCTGGTCGCCTTCATCGTCTCGGACTTCGAAATGTTGAAGTCCGAATTTGGACACTTCAGAGTTTGGGCGAGGAGCGACGCTATCGAGCAAGCACGCTACACTCTGGACATCGGGCCGAGGATACTCGAGTATTACGAGGACTATTTCAAGATTAAGTTCCCCTTGCCCAAGATGGATACTGTTGCTCTGCCTGATTTTTCAGCAGGTGCTATGGAAAACTGGGGCTTAATCACATGCAGGTGAGTTCGATCGATTTACGACTGTATTTGTCATTAAGTCGCGTGCTTTCAGGAAATTTGACCCCTTTGAGCGTTTAGTTTTTACTAGAATGTCGTGCAAATAATCCGAAATGATTTAAATAATTAGTTTTACACGTTCAAAGAGGATAACACATTACGATATATCGAGTAAATATGTTAAAAGCTATTGTTTAACCCTTTTGAGTGGTCATTAAAATTACCAAAGGTCGAAAAATTTGATTTTAATAAGAATATATTCGTTTTTAAATATTTTAATTGAATATATTATTAACTAAATATTTTAATATTTCTAAAAATATATATTATATATATTATTATATGTTATATATATTCGTCTTTAAATATTTTAATTGAATATTTTATTAACTATATATCTTAATATTTATAAAAATATTTAAATATTTTATTAAATTTTTTTAAATATTGTCATCTTTAAATATTGTCAATATTGTTATCTTTAAAAATTCTAATATTGTCCGTGAACCTCTAATAAACAAACTAATTGTTTCACTCATTTTATTAACATCTCTAGATTATTTCTATGATACTTTTCAGCATCTCGAAATTTTTGTTCACTGTATTTCCATTTTTTCCTTCCCCCCCTCCCCCCTTTAACAACTATTATGAGAAATTTCTACGATATTCGGCAGATGATGTGATTGAATTTTCAGAGAAACTGCCATGCTTTACCAAGAAGGCGTCTCGACCAGCAGTAATCAGCAACGAGTGGCCACGGTGATATCTCACGAACTTGCTCATCAATGGTTTGGTAACTTGGTGACTCCGAGTTGGTGGTCGGATCTATGGTTGAACGAAGGCTTCGCCAGTTACATGGAATACATCGGTGTGAACGCAGTAAGTTGGTAACTCTGAACGGAAATACAATGCAAAATTATTTCGAACGAAAGCTGACAAAATTGCAAATGTCAGAAACTTGTCAAGAAATTTGTGTTGTTTTTTGTTTGATTTCGATTGTTTAAATAAAACAATATTAGACTTAATTGAAATATTTCCTCTCACTTCATCCATTCACTAGACGCAGTATTGCTCGAATTTTATTTTATTCTGGGATTTAGAAAATTTCGACAGTATTGAGATTAGACTAGAAATTAAAATTGAATTCGTCGAATAACTTAGTTATTAAAATTCTTTATAAGTGTTATGGGCTTTATCTTTCAGTAATTATTATATTGTAATTATTACATAAAATAAAATACTTTAAAGTGTAAAATAATATATATTATAATTATTATATTATATAAAATAATATATATATATATATTATATTATAATTATTATATAAAGTAACATACTTTAAAGTATAAAGTAATATATATCATAATTATCATATTATATAAAATAATATAATATATATTATATTATAATTATTATATAAATTAACATACTATAAAGTATAAAGTAATATGTATTATAATTATTATATAAAGTGATATAAAATATATAATATTATGTTATAATTATTATCTACAGTATAAAGTAATAAACTTAATTATATAAAAATAATAATTGCTAATTATAATATAATGTAACGATATAAATAATATAAGATCTTCTAAGAAAAATCTTCTATTATCTAGGTGGAGCCAACGTGGAAAGTTTTGGAGCAATTCGTTGTACACGATTTGCACAATGTTTTCGGTTTGGACGCGTTAGAATCGTCGCACCAAATATCGATCGAGGTCGAACATCCCGACGAGATAAGTGAAATTTTCGACCGGATTTCTTACGAAAAAGGTGAATAAATAATTCATCATGCATAGTTCATTAACATGTATATACATACTGATATGAATGTTCATATTTGAATAGCTGCTTCCATAATAAGAATGATGGATCATTTCCTTACCAACGAAGTGTTCAAACAAGGTCTAACGAATTATTTGAATGGAAAGTGAGTAAAATACGAAAATGGTAATTTAATTTGAATCTTAAACGAACGTGGCTGTATCTGTAAGAAGATTTATTATTATCACTCAAAGTACAATTATTACTTATAATTTTTTTTTTATGACAGAGCGTATAAGAGCGCCGAGCAAAATGATTTGTGGGATGCCTTGACAAAACAAGCGCACAATGATAAAGTTCTCGATCCAAAGATAACAGTAAAACAAATTATGGATACCTGGACCCTCCAGACTGGTTTTCCAGTGATCACAGTTATCCGAGATTATAACACTGGCTCAGTGACGCTGACGCAGGTTTGCTTTCCAATATTTCAATATCTCAATTTAATTTTAATTTAATTTAATGTAATTTAATGTATTTTAATTTTAATTTTAATATTTTAATTTTAATTTTAATATTTTAATTTTAATTTTAATATTTTAATTTTAATTTTAATTTTAATTTTAATATTTTAATTTTAATTTTAATTTTAATTTTAATTTTAATTTTAATTTTAATTTTAATTTTAATTTTAATTTTAATTTTAATTTTAATATTTTTATTTTAATTTTAATATTTTAATTTTAATTTTAATTTTAATTTTAATTTTAATATTTTAATTGGTGTATTTTCCACAAATGGCGTTTCTCATATTTTAATTTCAGTTTTGTTCATTTTAGGAACGTTTCATGCTTCGCAATGGCACCACAGTAACCACATCGAGTGTCGAACCACTGTGGTGGGTACCAGTCACATACACGACTGAAAGTCAATTAGATTTCAATGCAACTCAACCGTCTCAATGGATGAAAGCAGAAAAATCGATCACGCTGTCGAATCTGAACTGGGTCCCCTCGGAGTGGGTGATCTTCAATATTCAAGAAACTGGTAAGATCCATGTCTTGAAGTAATTTTTTGAAGTGATCATCAGTAAATCAGTGTATTAAAGTAATTCTTGTTGTACCATAATATCAAACATTAAATGGTAGATTTTTATAGACTGTAGATTTTTATATAATATTTATGAAAAATTAGAGTAAAAATATATAAAATATATTATATAATATAAATATATATATATACTGTATATATGTTATATATATTATAATATTATAAATATTATAAAATATATATATATTACATAAGTATAATACTCAGCATATACAAAATTATGTGGAATAATCTAAATATCTAAATATCTGAATATTTACAATCTGAATATCGCTCTTCATCCAATTATCTTTATAATCAAAATAATTTCTAGATTCGATTTCTTTGATCACGATTCATACAAAGTATCTCTTCATATTTTTCACTTGGATTCTTTACTATTCGAACAATGACAATCCCCATCAAGCGTTCACATCGAGCGTTTTCATTTTAGGATACTATAGAGTGAACTACGACAGGAAGAATTGGCAGTTGATAATCAAGCAATTGAACAAGGAGTCGTTTAGAAATATTTCGACGATCAATCGTGCCCAGTTAATTGATGATGCGCTTAATTTGGCAAGAGCTGGAAGACTGGATTACGCCATTGCGTTGGATGTCACGTCGTATTTAGCTCACGAGACTGAATACCTGCCTTGGAAGGCTGCCTTCACTGCCATGCATTATTTGGACAGCATGCTGATCAAAATGCCGAGCTACGACAAATTTCGAGTAAGCACAAGGATTTGTCAGTATTTTAGCTATCCTGCATGAATAATTTAAGATGAAATAATTAACAAGTAATTGATTTATAAAATAATTAATTTATTAATAATTTATTTAAAGCTTAAAATAATTTATTTATTTATTAGAGATTCAAAATATCATATTATATATTTCAATAAATACTTTCAATTTTTATTCAAGTGTACAATAAAATTTTACTTGAATATAATATGGGAGAATATATGAAATATTCAAAGTGTAGCGACAATTTTCTATCCAAGTTACTATCTTTTTAATCGCATTCTCAAAAGTATGAATTTCCATAAAAATCGATAAGAATTCAATTTGTCATCTGATTATTTTATAATAATTTAATAATAATTATAATTTTATAATTATTAATATAAATTAAATTATAATTTTTATTATAATTTTATAATAATTTAAGATAAAATAATTAATTTATTAATAATTTATTTAAAGTTTAAAATAATTTATTTATTTATTAGAGATTCAAAATATCATATTATATATTGCAATAAATAATTTAAACTTTTATTCAATTGTACAATAAAATTTTACTTGAATATAACATGGGAGAATATATGAAATATTCAAAGTGTAGTAACAATTTTCTACCCAAGTTACTATCTTTTTAATCGCATTCTCAAAAGTATGAATTTTCATAAAAATCGATAAGCATTCAATTTGTCATCTGATTATTTTAACGATCATCCAAAGGGTTCACGTTGTGAGAGTTTAAATTTTTGAACAATAGTTAATCAATAATTAAATCCAATGTTTCTCGCTTTTCTTTACTCTAGAGGGAATGTATATTTTGATGTTGCATCGTTTTAGGTATACGTTTTGAAATTACTCGACAATGTGTACAAGCAAGTCGGTTTCAAAGATAGCCCCCGAGATCCTCAGCTGACGGTATTCACTCGCATCGATGTGCTAACATGGGCTTGTAACTTCGGCCACGAAGATTGCGTGCAGAATGCGGTCAGACAATTTTACAATTGGCGTAACACACCTAGTCCCGACAAAAACAATCCGTAAGAATCCATTTTTTCCATTTTCCAAAAATTTTGCGTTATTCTATGATTTATATCTCTACATATTTTTATGTTATTTGTATATTTTATATTTATATATATTTTTATATTATATATATTGTAATATATTATATTATATTATGTTATTTTATATTACACATATATTATAATATATTTATTATTATTATTATATATTTATATATTTATATATATCTTTATGAAATTCTGTGATTCTATTTACAAGAAAAATTACAATTTTGTATTATAATATATAAAATAATATATTATAATATATTATATTATACATTATGTTATATTATTTTATATTATATATTATAATATATTTATTATTATTATTATTATATATATATATATATTTATACATATCTTTATGTAATTCTGTGATTTTATTCACAAGAAAAATTACAATTTATAATATATATAATATAAAATAATTTATTATAATATATTATATTATACATTATATTATATTATTTTATATTATATATATTATAATATATTTATTATTATATATAAATTTGTATGTAATTCTGTAATATTATTCACAAGAAAAGTTACAATTTTGACATGTTTATGCAAAATTTTGAAACACAAAGACGAAACATAAAAATATACGTAGTACTTAACAAGGTAAATTATTCGTTGGAATTTTTAATAGGTAGAACGAGTCTTTACTTATATTCTATGTTATCGACTCATTTATACTCTTTTATACACAAAATTATTTTTAAAATATTACAAATATTTACAAATATTACTTTTATATTTTATTTCATACTTTTCAAAAAATAAATTCCTACGAATATTAAGAAACGGCAGAAATTGATCGTACAATACGTGGAATCAATAACTTTTCGTCGATAACAGTGACGTTCGAATAATTTCAGGATCTCCCCAAATCTGAAGATGGTCGTCTACTGCACGGCTATTCGATTCGGTGGACAAATCGAATGGGACTTCGCTTGGCAGAGGTATTTGGAGACGAACGTCGGTTCTGAGAAGGATTTGCTTTTGCATGCTCTCGGCTGTACCAGAGAAACGTGGCTTCTCAGTCGTTATTTAGATTGGATGATCACGGAGAACTCGGGGATCAGGAAGCAAGACGCCGGTCGTGTTCTAAATTCCATTGCCAGCAACCCTATTGGACAACCACTGGCGTTCAATTTCCTCAGGAATAAATGGGATCGTCTTCGAAAATAGTGAGCCTCCTCTTTACTGTATCGTGAATTTTCTTTTGTTTTTTTTTTTTTTTTTACTTCTTAAACTTTGCTTTACCATTTTCTTTTTAAATGTTTTTTAAATGAACAAGTAGTTTTTAAACAGTGTTGTGTCAGACGTACACGAGACATTGAATTTAAATTGTGTATGATTATTAATCTTCGAGTTAAGGAATTCAAATTAAAATTCGAATTTGAACTCTAATCCATAGCAGTAGAATTGAAAACCATAATTCAGATTAGTATCTTATATTATAAGAGATTAAACACACGTGCAATGATAAATAGAAATTCTATTAAGTACTATTATGCCATTACTATTTTGAAGTATATTTTACGTTTGTTTGTTACTTTTTCTTAAATGCAATTTTTTTAAAAGTGTGGCACGTTCTCTTAAACTTTCTTTTGTATCAAACGTTACTTTATATATGTCAGTTATAATGAAATTCTTTGTTCTAGCTTCGGCACGTCGTTACTGATTATGAACAATATCGTGAAATCAGCCACCAGAGGTATTAACACCAAATATGACCTTAAAGATGTAAGTCTTTATTATAAAACGAAATATAATATAGTAAAACAAAATAATAATATTATAATACATATTGATAAATAATATAACAATTAACCCTTCGAGAATAATAGTCAATGTTAATGATACAGATTTTTTGATAATTTTCATATGTTTAAAATATATAGTAATAAATCGGATTTTATACATTTATGAAAAATTTGAGTGTTGTATGTATACTATACAAAAATACCTATAAAATATCCATATAAATATCTACATAAGTGGTGTATATCATAACATATAACACAGGAAACAAATTCTTTTTAGATTCGATTCCTTTAGTGAAATTCTAAACAATTTTAAAATATACAAAATCCATTTAGGGTATAATGAGATTTATTAATAATAAATAACGTCACCATTGAGTTTACACATAATTCTAAAATTTTAATTTTCAATTTAAAAATTTTTAAATTTTAATTTCAAAATATTTAATTTTTAATTTCAAAATATTTAATTTTTAATTTCAAAATTTTTAAATTTTAATTTCAAAATTTTAAATTTTCAATTTCAAAATTTTTAATTTTCAGTTTTAAAATTTTTATTTTTCAATTTTAAAAGTTTTAAATTTTAATTTCAAAATTTTTAATTTTTAATTTCAAAATTTTTAATTTTTGATTTTTAATTTCAAAATTTCTAATTTTTAATTCCAAAATTTTTAAATTTTAATTTTTAATTTCAAAGTTTTTAATTTTCAATTTCAAAATTTTTAATTTTTAATTTTAAATTTTTAAATTTTAATTTCAAAACGTCTCTGAAGGGTTAATTCTCAATAACAAGCACACCAAAAACTTAAATACTTCAAATACACTCTAATCCATTTTTTCCCCAATGTTTAGCTACTGGAGTTCACCAACGAGCATATAGGAGAGTTCGGTAGTGCAACGAGGTCGATGCAGCAGTCGATAGAGCAAGCAGAGGCGAATATTCGATGGGTGGAAGCCAATCGCGTTACGATTCAAGATTGGTTGAAAAGGAACACCGCGTAACGACGAAAAACGAAACGGATTAGCATTGCATAAATTCAACTGTCGATGTTCAAAGGGGCCGATTAAAATTGTCTGAGGTATACGAATACGCCTCAGCCTCGTACGTGGAAATAATATCGGGACTTTAGTTCGAGAAACGTCGCACGCTCGCGTTTTCGCTATGATTAAACGTAGATGGCGGAACGCGATAAGTATCCGAGATTTATCAAACAAGTATCAAGTGTTTTTGCATGTTTTTGTAAATACGCATTGATCATTAATGGAAATGTTTAAGTATTTCAGGACATTAGAGTAGGTTGAATTCCGTCGATGTTTCGTGCATATTGATTATTTGAACGTTATCGTTCGATTGTTTCGCGAATAATTTCAATTATTTTCCTTTCTCTTCATCTGGCTATTTTTCATCGTAAGCTGAATTCAGGAATGTGTGTATTTTCCTCCCGTAGGATGACGTACAATTGCTCAGAAAAGTATTCGGAGAGATTTGTAGGAAATTCTTATAAATATATTATACATGTTGTATGAAACATTTTGATATTTCGTGGACACCATAGTGAGATACGACTATCGTCGACTATATCGATAACGTTTGAAACGGATCCTAAAGTATATACGAGAATTATAAAATATAACCGAACGCGAGTATATATTTCGCAAATATTAAAATTTTGAAATTAAAAATTAAAAATTAAATATTTTGAAATTAAAATTTGAAAATTTTGGAATTAAAAATTAAAAATTAAATATTTTGAAATTAAAATTTAAAAATTTTGGAATTAAAAGTTAAAAATTAAATATTTTGAAATTAAAATTTAAAAATTTTGGAATTAAAAATTAAAAATTTTGAAATTAAAAATTAATTGTTTAAACAGCTGATTATTAACGATTACCGATAAACCTCAATATTTAGTTTAGTTTAGACTGTATTTAACGCTTGTGTACCAAGTTTTTACCATAAGAAATGATTACCACGACTTGTACTCTATAACCTTCACCGATTGTCATAATCGTAACGGTGTCAACGAAAATTTCAAAGTACATCGTGCAACATACATAATATATATACATAATATATATACATAAAGGTTCTTCAAATAAACGTTCAAATATTTTCACGTAGTCACTGTATTTACGTTTACGCCGCGATAAATAATTTTTAGTCGACATTCATTGCTTTCTGTTTACCTATTTATTCGATAGAGAGGATCCTGTGCATTTTTACTCGACTCTTCCTTCAATTTCGCAATACAGCACTGACGTTTGTTTCTTTTTTGTCGAAAAACGAGTGTAAGTATCCCCCGTTGAACCCTCGTGATCCCACGTTCTCGCTTACAGAGGGCCAGAATCTCACAATTAGTACAATAATTTAGGATCCATCACCAGGAAGACTTAATTCGCGATTTCTCGTAATTAATTAATTTATGTACGCGTGAACGTCGCGTGTCTTTGTTGTTATTTATTCAGTTTATGTCCAACACTTGTCGCTCGAAATTTTTTAAATCTTGAAACCGCAGCTGGGATTGTTTGACTGTTTTCGGCGTTAATTAACGACAAACGTTCAGTTTTCTCGTAAAGAAGCAGAACGAAATCTAGCAGTGAGAAATTACGCGTATATGCACAAGATATTTATACACGCGTCTGTTTCCTTTCTTCTTGCTCTTTTTCTTTCAATTATCACACGCACAATACTTATAAAATGTATACTTAAAAAGAAAGTAAAAAAGAACTTGCTCTTCCAGTTTATATGTCGTTCCTTTTCACCGCCGACACGATCCTTTGAAGGATCCAACGCGTGATCGCGAATCGAGAAACTCCTCGTCGCAATTCCACTTTGTTCGTAGAACGAAATCTAATCGTATGGATATTACACGCTACGAAATTGCGACTTAAACATTGTATAATAAACATTGTATTTTGGTTTGAATATAATAAAGTTATATCGATTTTTATATCCTTCGTTACGTTATATAGTCAATTACTATGAAAAATTGTCGATAATTTAAGGGGGTATTCTGATGAAAATCAATTTTTTTTTTTACATTTTCTCAATGTATATTCTTTCGAAAATGTCTGTGTAAAAGGGTTTATTTGAATTCGTAAAATTTGCAAAGTTACAGATGTTTAAAGGAAACGGTGTACTGCTCGCAACGTAAGTATAAATATCTTTGTACAACGAATAACAAAAACTTCAAATGTGTTTTTCTCGAAAAATATTTTATTTTATAATATTATTATTTTATTTTATAATATTATTATTTTAATAATATTAATAATATTAATATTAATTTAATAATTTTAATATTATTTAATTAATAATATTAATATTATTTTAATAATTTTAATAATATTATTTTATAATATTATTATTTATTTTTATATTATTATTTTATAATATTTTATTTTTTACACTGGTCGATTGATTGTAAGTATGAATATTTTTGTACAACGGATAACAAGAACTTCAAATGTGTTTTTCTCAAAAAATATTTTATTTTATATTATTATTTATTTTTATATTATTATTTTATAATATTTTATTTTTTGCACTGCTCGATTGATTGTAAGTATGAATATTTTTGTACAACCGGTAACAAAAACTTCAAATGTGTTTTTCTCGAAAAATATTTTATTTTATAACATTATTATTTATTTTTATATTATTATTTTATAATATTTTATTTTTCGTTCTGCTCGATTGATTGTAAGTATGAATATTTAGTAATTAAATTCGAACCAGATTCTTTTTGTGCTAGAAATAGAAAATAGTTCCGATAAAGGAACTGTTACAAATTATTGACTTTCCACGTTCATGTTAGAAAATAGAAAAATAATATTAGTTTCGTAGATATAAAATCAACTTATTTCATTTGGCCAATTATTGTGGTACTCGTTACACCTTTATAATTTTTACTACTCGTTATACTTACAAAATAATGTATACGATTTTATTTAACATTGGTTTACAAGTGTCTTTTCTTACAAATATATCGAATTTTTACATGTTTTTACAACGTTTAAAATATAATTCACAAAATTGCATGTACATATGTAATATTAATATTCATTTCAGAATTGTACGATACTTTCATTTTCATTCAGTGATATTATACTAATTTATGATGTAAACGATTAACGAAAATACTGTCATCAATGCTACAGCCAAGTTATTTGCAACAACTGTAGAAGCTGGATTTTTGTCTTCTATATTACGAATCGTCTCATTCAAGCATGAATTAATGGTATCGGAATAGTTTTGATACCAGAGTAGGTTTTCTTGGGCAGAGGCAATACCTTTATTGATACTGGCTGCTATATTTGTGATTCCACCTTCTTTGGTACTTAATGTCTTCAACTGAAATTTGAAAATTAAATAAATATGTAATTTACAATATAATTCTATAATTGAAGTTGCCAGTAGGCATCGTTTGAATTTAAAATGAAAATTACAAGATAATTCCACTTATGGAATTATAGTGTATCAATTCTGTAAGTTTTCATAGTGAACAGCGTAACTAATAAAAATGATACAGTTGTAATTTCGTAAAAAAAAAAGAAAAAAAAAATTATACAAATCGTAAGAAGAAATCAGTTCACTTGATTTTATTTTAAAGCGTACAGTCTCTGCTCTAACTTATCTTAAGTTTCTCTTTTTCAAAGATTTCTTCTTCAAATTATGTAACACGTGGGAAAGCGAGGATATGACTTTTATTTTCGAAAATTATGAAACTTTCAAACTAATCCTGACAAACGTTGATAAAATTTTTTCATAACTGCAGTCACCACGATTTTGGAAGTTTGAAATCTCCCCTGATCTTAACTCACTTAAAACTTGTCATACGACTTTCTTTTCACCATTTTATTGAATTTTGAATGTTAGAGTTGAATGACAAAAACACTCGAGAAATCCCAACATTTTGTCATCTTTAAAATTCAATAATAAGAAAACCATAAATAAATTCTAAGGTTAAGATTGTTGCAAAGAGGAAATTTCGGTCTATCTCGTCGTGAAAACAAATTTTTTCCACCTTTCTGGAAACGATAAATGAATAAATTTACCTGTGCAATTTGTTGTTCCTTGGAAAAACGAGATGCCAATTTAGAAATCAGTGCTCCAACATCGTTCCAATTCCCGTAACTGAAAACAGAAGTAGCGTATGTTTCTACGTGCAATTTATTTTTTATCTATCAATTTTCCACATTAATTGAACGCGGATCGTCGAACTTACTATTTGTATAATCTATCGTAATTAATCACTATGTAGTCTAGCATCGTGTCCACTCCGTATTCTCCAGAATTGTAGATGGAAGCGAGTACGGCGTTAAAATCTTGCTTTCGAATGTCGGCAGTGTAATTACTTACCAATGCCTTCTCGATGTAACTGTGAAAAGAAAGAAAAACAGATAACTATGCTGAATCGAACCAAATTCGACAAATTCTATCGCATCTTCTTTACTCGATTTCACATTTTCTTTATCTCAAATAAGATTTGCCCGTACTATGTCGTAAATTTAATTATTAATGAACTGCCTGGTTCATTTGCACAATTATCGACGTAAATAACAATTAATTATGATACAAGTAATTTAAATAGCCCGAAGGTGTATAAATGGGGATGATGAGTCCTTTTGTAATAATAACATACTCATGTAGTATTTTCTCGTCCTTAGAGCAACCTAGAGCATCCAGTATGATCTTTTTCTCCGAGGCAAAGTTCGTCTTCAGATACTGCTCCCATAGGAAATTCCAGTCGTTGAGATCTCCATCTCTTATGGCTGTGCAATAAATGGCTACCTTGGCATCTGGTGGAATTCTAAGAAATTATATGAAATTGTGAAAAAATTATGGAACTCTATGAAATTATGTGAAATTGTGAAAAAATTATGGAACTCTAATTAATTATATGAAATTATGAAAACATTATGGAGTTCTAAGAAATTATATGAAATTGTGAAAAAATTATGGAACTATAAGAAATTATATGAAATTATGAAAAAATTATGGAATTCTAAGAAATTATATGAAATTATGAAAAAATTATGGAACTCTAGGTAATTATATGAAATTGTGAAAAAATTATGGAATTCTAAGAAATTATATGAAATTATGAAAAAATTATGGAGTTCTAAAAAATTATATGAAACTGTGAAAAAATTATGGAGCTCTAAGTAATTATATGAAATTATGAAAAAATTATGGAGTTCTAAGAAATTATATGAAATTGTGAAAAAATTATGGAACTCTAAGAAATTATATGAAATTGTGAAAAAATTATGGAACTATAAGAAATTATATGAAATTATGAAAAAATTATGGAATTCTAAGAAATTATATGAAATTATGAAAAAATTATGGAACTCTAGGTAATTATATGAAATTATGAAAAAATTATGGAGATTCTAAGAAATTATGAAAAAATTATGGAACTCTAGGTAATTATATGAAATTGTGAAAAAATTATGGAATTCTAAGAAAATATATGAAATTATGAAAAAATTATGGAACTCTAAGAAATTATATGAAACTGTGAAAAAATTATGGAACTCTAAGAAATTATATGAAATTATGAAAACATTATGGAGTTCTAAGAAATTATATGAAATTGTGAAAAAATTATGGAACTATAAGAAATTATATGAAATTATGAAAAAATTATGGAATTCTAAGAAATTATATGAAATTACGAAATTCTAAAAAATTATATGAAATTATGGAATTCTAAGAAATTATATGAAATTCTGGAGTTCTAAAAAATTATATGAAATTCTGGAATTCTAAGAAACTACATGAAATTCTGGAATCCTAAGAAATTATATGAAATTATGAAAAATTAGTAGTTTACAAAATTATTACTTTTGTAGAATTGTAGCTGTAGAATTAATTCCTCCTCTCGACAAGATAGAATTGGATTCTCTTAAGTTTACCATTACTCTACACGAATTTTCACAACGAGGTAATATCAAAATTACTACTTTACCTGTATTTCGATACGTTTTTCGTATTCCTCCATTCGGCGAACATCCTTTTGGATGTCTCCACGCACTCTGAATGGTTCAGTTTACATATCCACGACAGGATCAATTCCCTGTTCAACTTGTCCAAGTGGGATTTCTCTTTCACGTCATCGAAGCCGAGCTCCTCGTACACGTTGGCCGCCAACAGCAGGATATACTTCTTCAACAGGTCCTCACCTTTCTGTCCTTGATATCGTTGCAAAAGGAAGCTCATCCCATTGAAGAAGGCCTTCCACGGTATGTGGTTCAGCTCCTTCGACAGATACGTCATCCCCTTTAACGCGATCGTGTAGTCGACCCAGCCAGCTCGTGCCAGATTCAACAGATCGTCGACGATCTGAGCTCGATTCGTCACGTCTATCAGTGTGTGATTGGAGTTCAAAGCTTTGATCAAACGTTCCCACGATTTCGCGTCGTAATTCACTCGATAGTAACCGCTCTGTTGGATGTTCAGAATGAACCATTCTTCTTGAGACGAGATCGAGATCGTGTCGTAATATCCTTGCAACCAACGCTTGACCGCGGTCGATGAAAAGTTTTGTTCTGTAGCGGTCGTCATTGTAATGGGTATCCAGAAATCCTCGATGTCCTCGTACGTTGAGAAACTTTTCTGGACGTACGAGAAAGAATCACGTGTAATTATAATTATATGTAATTGACAATTCAATTTTTTGTATATTCTAATGTAAAGATTAATATCATTAATATTAATTTAAATTTCACATTAAAATTAATGAATTTAATAGAATATAATATTAATAGAATTAATAAATTTTATAGAATTAATATTAATAGAATTAATAAATTTAATAGAATTAATATTATTAGAATTAATAAATTTAATACAATATAATATTAATTTAATTTAATATAACATTAATATTATTAATATTAATTTAAATTTCACCTAAAATTAATAAATTTAATATAATAATTATTTTTTATATAATAAAATTTATAAATTATTAACTTATAATATAAGTTTAACCGCTATTGCTGGCACTTTATTTTATTATTATTAATTTTAATTCTCCTATTTAATTTTCATTAAATTATATAAAATTTTTTATTTTATTTTATCATATATATATATATATATATATGTATTTAATATAAATTTATTTTATATAAATTGCGCCAATAAAGCCTCCAAAGTAGAGGCATTTGGACAATTTAAGATGAGACAAAATGGAGTGTTGTATGATTTTTCCTTGACAAACAATTTAAATTGACTTTTCCCTTTAACAATTAAAAATTAAAAATTAACAATTTAAATTGTTAATTTATAATTTTCCCATATTCTTTATTTGGCAAGTTATTGTTAGATGTACCTGGCTCAATATTATTGTACCGTTGTCTAACATCGTCGCAGAAACGACCGGATATCCTGGTTTATTGGTCCAACCGGACATGAAATACGACACGTTCCTCGGCTCCCGTTGCAGATCATTCGTTTCGTTTATCGCGTAAGCGAATGCTTGCCAAAGATCGTCCGGCTTCGCGGTGCCAAATTTGTTATTCTCCAAGTACGTGGTCACGGCCATTTTGAATGTTTCGGATTTCAGTGATTTTCGTAACATTCGTATGACACTAGCCGCTGTGAAAATTTAATAATAAATTAATTAGACATGACTGTCAATGTTAATCGTAATTAATTAACGACGATTAACATTAATAATATGTGAATTAATTCTGAAGCGAGTGAAATTGAATTTTTATTTGAAAAGATCGGTCGTGACGGGGAGTGAATTTCTGTTGACGTAAGAGGAATGAAAGAAATTTATTTTTAAAAGCTTTGATTTTCATTTTATCTCCTACCTAGTATGTGTATTAAAATTGTATTTTGCTTTTCGTTGCGACGTTGTACTTTGTAAAAAAATGGGTATGACCGAGAATAAATAAATAAGTAAACAAGTAAATAAATAAATAAGTAAATAATAAATAAATAAATAAGTAAATAAATAAATAAACAAGTAAATGAATAAATATTTAAATAAATAAATAAGTAAGTAAACAAATAAAGAAAATAAATATTTAAATAAATAAATAAGTAAGTAAATAAATAAAGAAAATAAATAAATAAATAAGTAAATAAATAAATAAAGAAAATAAATAAATAAATAAGTAAATAAATAAATAAAGAAAATAAATAAATAAATATTTAAATAAATAAATAAAGAAAATAAATAAATAAATATTTAAATAAATAGATAAATAGGTAGATAAATAAACAAATAAATAATAGATAAATAGATAGATAAATAAATAAATAAATAAATAAATAAACTTACATTTTTTATAAGCAATGCTGTCAAAAGCATTTTTGATTTCGTTGGGCGTACTGACTGGATTATTCATGGGATGTGACGTCGACGAAGCATCGTCTTGCATCGCTGCTTGTAGCTCGTTAACCACGAACAGTTCTTCGTAACCGTAGTTTGGCTCGTACTGCGATGAATTTCAACGAGTGTAAATATTTCACGAAAAGAAAGGATTGAACAATTGATTCAATTCAGTTGAACGAAGGCTTACCAAAGCGCCAAGATACCATTGCATATATTGAGCGAAGCCTTCATTTAACCATATATACTCCCACCAGTCGCATGTGACTAAATTTCCAAACATCGAGTGAGCAAGCTCGTGAGCAATTATAGTGATTATATAGTCCAATTGTCTGGTTGATGTTACATTCTCGTCGTAGAAGAGTCCGTACTCTCTGAAAAATGATTTACACGATCAATTTCTATTCAACGGCAGGACTAAATTATTTCTGCGAAACTATGAGCATAACAATTAGCAATTAATCAATACTATATGTGACTATAATATTTATAAATATGTTGTTATAATTAAATGCAAGGATTATGTTGTGAATATGTTGAAACTACTGTTACGATTATACACAAAATATTATAATTATAATACTTTTTTAAATATTATAATTTAATAATTAATATTATAATCATATTCTTATAATTCTCATAATATTTATAAATATTTATAATATTCTTATAATATTTATAAATATATAAATATTATTATTATAGTTATATTATATTATAATTATTAATAATTAATTATATTAACAATTATAATTTAATAAAACTGTATTTTAATTAATAATTATAATTTAATAATTAATATTATAATCATATTCTTATAATTATAATTATAACAAACGAAGGCTAACTTTTCAGCAATTAATTTTTGAATTACTCTAGTAAATAACAATTTTTTTTTTTAAACCAGAAAACCAAAATTTCGAAATTCTTCGTCAAATTTAACGATATATAATTTCACGATGTTTCATATTCTATATTCTTAAATCAATCAGTAGTTAAACGAACGTATCTAAAACGTCATCAGTTTGTTGAAATATAATTCAATGTGATTTACCTAAACGTAATGAGACCCCAATTTTCCATGGCACCCATATCACCCATATCTGGTATTCCGATTAAATCCAATTTTGGCAAGATGTATGTATGACCCGTTTCACTTTTCAGCTGATCACGAACAAACGTCGCTATATTTTTCGCTCGAGAGCCTTTCTCAACGATACTGGGTCTGCCCCAAATTCCCACATTGTTATCCACCTCCAGTGACTTGAATTCGCTGACTATAAATGCCACCAGGTACGTTGACATTTCGACTGATTCTCGGAAAACGTCGATAGTGCGACCTGAAGAACTGAGGGTACAAGTCCATGTGAAATATTCGCGAAGAATTGTCTTTGAAACATATAGGAGGTAGAACAAAGGAAATTAAAAATAAAAAGCAAAAATGAAAGCAACATTGAATATATATCGAAGTAATATACATCGAAGATTGTTTATCGAGGTGTGGAAAATCTATTTGTAGCAAAATGTACAAGTTCGTTTCAATTCGATTGTTCGAAAAAAAAAAAATGGCACGACTTTGTAAAAGTTCGAAAATGAATGAAAATTGGAAAAACCTCGAGTATTCAAGTATCGAGTTCATTCATCAATTGACAAGATAGAATCAGTTTCTTTTCTAACTAAATTATTTATTAATTATCTGTTAATAATTATCTAAACTATTACCTAATAATTATATAAATTATCTAAAAGTTATCTATTAATAAGCTCTATTAATCTAATAAGTAACTTACTTCGATGGAATGGATTTGTCGCGATCCATATTACTGAGCACCTGATAATTGTCAGGTCTTTCAACGCTTATGGTGAACTTTGCTTTAAAAGCTGGCTCGTCGAAGCAAGGGAAAGCTCTTCTCGCGTGGGTCGGTTGAAACTGAGTGGTGGCCAACCAACTAGAATCAAGGAAGCAACGTTAGAAAATTGATCGAATGATTTTTCATAGAAACGATTTTTCGTGAATCGTAGATTTCGAAACAACGAGACAATCGCGTATCAATTGTTTAAGTGTTGACCTTATGGTAGAGTCATGTAATTTTTACAACATTTAATTTTATTATTAACTATTAATTAATAATTATTTATATATATTATTTAATTAACTTATAATATATTAACTTTAATATATTATTAATACTATTACTAATATATTATGTTTAATAATACAGTGTTATGTGGTCTTTAGCGCTTGACACGATTGATGTCGTTACTATAGTATAATTTTCAATAATTAATTTATTGTATTTTTCGATATTTAATTTATTATTTATTTTTTATTGATTATATTTAATTATTTATTTTATATTTATTATATTTAATTTATTATTTATTTTATATTTATTACATTTAATTTATAGTATTTCTCAATATTTAATTTATTATTTATTTTTATTTATTATATTTAATTTAGAATTTTTTATTATTTATTTTTATTTATTATATTTAATTTATAGAATTTTCTATTATTTATTTATTATATTTAAATTTATTATTTATTTTTTATTTAATTTATAGAATTTTTTATTATTTATTTATTATTTTTAAATTTATTATTTATTTTTTATGTATTATATTTAATTAATAGTATTTTTCAATATTTAATCAGTGACGATACAGTAGTTTCATGTGTTTTTCAATGTTTAGTGATCGATGACGTTAACTATAACGTCACGTGATTTTCAATGATTAACTATCAGTCTATTAGTTATCAACTTTAATAAAATTACACGACGTAGTTATGTCACGTAATTTAATAATTTAACAACTGTACAATTTTTATCACTCAATAATCGATCAATAGTCGTTCTCAACACTGTGACATTACAATATTATACCTTCGTCTAACTTTCAGCATTCAATAAATTCTTCAAGATCCTCTATCACTACAACGTCAAAAGATTTCCTCATCTTTATGATATTAATATAAAAAAATATTATTTGCAAGTTTACACTCACTGTATACGTCCTTCCTCATCCGGATAATAACTTCGATAAAATCCCGCCATGTTGTCGTTTAGTATACCCGCGAACGTGATGTCGAGAACAAATTCGTCGGATTGAATGAATTTTTCCATGAATATCGTGATCATCTGTGTCTTGTTGTTCGAGAGTCTGTCCATTACATCGTTCTTGTCGTCCAGATTCGAATTCTTCGCGCGCAGTGACAACCCTGTGATACTGAGGTCGCTGGCATGAAGCACTATATGCGAGACGTGGTCCACGTTACGCGTCATTTCTATCTGCACCCTTCCGGTAAATGTGAAATTGTCGAAGTGAGGTGACAAAGTGAGATTGTATCTCGACGGAGTGAACGCGTTTGGCAAGCGATAATCCGTCGACGGGTAATGTTTCTCCATCCAATGGAATATATATGGGATGTTCTCTTCGCCCCATTTCAATTGTTTCTCTGCCTGGCTCTTGTAAGCCTTCGCCTCTTTCGTTACCTTCCTCTCCTCCAAGAAATTTAGTAGCTTGACGTACTGAGGGAAAATTGAAAGTTTCACAGACGACGAAATATGTGAGATAAAAGATTAAATTAAATTCGTTGATCTGATAATTACGGTATTACGATATTTCAACTGATTCTGGATTTTTTTTGGATATTATACACGTAACCGTATAATATAATATTAAATTATATTATATATGAAATATATATTATATTAAATACGTAAATTCGGTATATATATTATAAAATAATAGTATTAAATATATATTAAATATATAATAATATTAAATTATATTATATAGTAAGATATTAAATACGTAAATTCGGTATATATATTATAATATAATAATATTAAATATATATTAAATATATAATATTAAATTATATTATATATGAAATATATTATATTAAATACGTAAATTCGGTATATATATTATAAAATAATAGTATTAAATATATATTTAAATATATATTAAATATATAATAATATTAAATTATATTATATAGTAAGATATTAAATACGTAAATTCGGTATATATTATAATATAATAATATTAAATATATATTAAATATATAATATTAAATTATATTATATATTAAGATATTAAATACGTAAACTCGGTATATATATACATTCGATAATATAAATTCGATAAATATTATATTGATCGATAATTACGATATTAGAATATTTCAACTGACTTTGGATATTATATAAATTTCGTATATATATATATATATACATTCGATAATAAATATTATATTGATCAATAATTACGATATTACGATATTTCAACTGATTTTGGATATTATATATATTCGGTATATATGTACATTTGATAATATAAATTCGATAAATATTATATTGATCGATAATTACGATATTACGATTATTTAACTTTTGAGATTTTGAATTATTTGGTAACCGGACATGCTTGAAAAATTATAACTAGACTGAGAATTTTTGTGCATTTGGGGTGAAGAAAATGTACACAATGCACAGATTGTATGTAAAAATATATGAAATAAATAAATAAATACCAAATAAAGGTGAAAGTGTAGAAAAAATAATTTTCTATTTAGATTTCAGTTCGGTGTTCGCGAAAATTTAAAAATGCATAAAAATTTACAGTCTAATTATATCCAACTGTTAACAGTTAAGTTATAGGTCTCTTTTATTTGTTTCTTTCCTCAAATACGATGATCAGAATGCAATTATAAATTTGCAAAATACGTAGCTTGAGATTTCGTAAATTTCGTTAACTATGCAAGACAGTCATATTGCAACCAGCAGTGAAATAATAATATTTAAAAGTAGGAAAGTAATTTGTGTCAAACGAAAATAACGATACATTACCTTGTCAAGTAACTTTTTGGTGAACACATTCTTTCCAATTGTGTTCACGATACTGTTGATGTTGGAAGATTGCTTGAAGCTACAGAAAAAGTATCACGAAATCATCTTAATCTTATTACGAAAGTGTAACGACTTTTTAGTATAATTTAAAATATTCTACTTACTGGGCCAGCATTTTGTCGTAATTTTCTTCGACGAAATTCATCACGAATTCAACTCCTTTCGGGCCTGAATTGATAACGGAAGTGAAAACGCTCGAGCTATCTTCGAATCGTACTTTGTCCTTTGAGAGTGCATTGTGAAGCAATCTTTGACAAAAAAACGTGCATGCATATATATGTGTATATGCAAAATATGAACGATTTCTTATAGCATAACTATTTTTAAGAAAACGATATTTTAATTTAATCTTTCACTGTAATATAATTATTTTCTACATAAATTAGTATATTATGTGTCACAGATTTATAAATTACCATTTAGTATATCTCAACAATAATTATAAGTTAAAAACAAACCGTGTAAACGTAGTTTCACTTTGTTTTGTAAAAGATATAGAAATTGCAATATTTATTGTTGTCTTAAATTGATGGAGGCTATGAAATAAAAATTACCGATTACTGAATAGAAAAAGTCTTTTTGGAAGTATTGACAAAGAATATTACTGTGTATCACTGACTTTACCAGAAGGTCGAGTAGCAAAATAATCATTATAAGTTGAACTTTCATCGTGTGCACATCGATTAAACATTTGAGGTGAATTTTTAAATAATATTTCTGTAATATTCTAATTGTTTAAACATTATCTAATGTATCTAATAATTTACTTGCAACAATTAAACAATAAATTCTCTTCTGTACTGTTTCTAAGGCTTATTTAAAATTTTTAACTAATAATTTATCGGAATCTTGAACAATGTACTTAAGAGAAATGACTTTGACTTATTGAATGAAATGATTAATTTAATTGTTCAATCGTAATGTAAAAGTTGTGAAAATTATTAAATAATATCTAGAAACATATTGTAGAAATAATTTAATTGTTTGAAATGAATTATTCAAACTGTAAAATAATACATTTCCATGCTATTTTTGTATATTAACAATTTTAACTATTTACTTATAACAATTGAATAAGTGATTGAATTTCCAAGCATTATTTCATAGTTTCAATAATTCATTTATAATAATTAAATTGTTTCATTTACAATAACGGAAAAGATAGTTACATAATACACATAATTCTTACTGTCTGAACCAATGAGCGAGAGACAATTTTTATACGTCGCGCTATTATTCTGAAGCGACGATCACTGCTTAACTCGATTTTTGACTACATAATTTTTCTCTACATAAATTTCTATTTAATATAGATCACTGCAGTTATAACTTAAAGATTAATATCATGAAAATGTAAATTTAGTTTCAGCCGATAAAAAATTAACAAATTATTACATTTAACATTGTAACATATTCAGGAAACTGTAACTTTGCGATAGAAATGTAAAAATTACTAAAGTATTGATTAGTATAATAGAAAAATTGTTTCTCGAAAAAAAAAATTATCAACTGTTCTGGATCACTGACGACCGAAATATATATTAACCTAGAGCGGTACGGAGAGTCATTACCAATTAAACTTCCGTCGTGTGCACATCGACAAAATTTTAAAAGTTTGAAAAAAAATTATCAATTGTCCCTGATCACTGACGACTGAAACATAGGATTAACCTTGAGCGGTATGGAGGCTCATTACCAATTAAACTTCCGTCGTGTGCACATTGATCAAAATTTAGGAGTGAGTTCTAAATAATACTTCTGAATATTCTAATTGTTTAAACATTATCTGATATTTCTAATAATATATTTGTAACAATTAAACAAAAAATTCTCTTCTATAACATTCCTAAGTTCGTAACGTGTGCACATCGACCAAATTTTAGGAATTTGGAAAAAAATTATCAACTGTTCTGGATCACTGACGACCGAAACATATAATAACTTTAAGCGGTATGGAGAGTCATTACCAATTAAACTTCCGTCGTGTGCACATCGACCAAAATTTAGGAGTGAGTTTTAAACAATATTTCTGAATATTCTACTTGTTTAAATATTATCTAATATTTCTAATAATTTATTTGTAACAATTAAACAATAAATTCTCTTGTATAACATTTCTCAGTTCTATTTAACATTTTTAATCAATCATTTGTAGTAATCGAGTCACTAATACATTTCTAAGAAATTTTCATTATCTGTATCGCATTATTAACAACCGAAAGATCAGATTAATGTCAATCGATACAGAGACAAGAACTTATTATGAATTGAATTTTTGTCGTGTGCACATCGACCAAATTTAGAGGTTTGAAAAAAATTATCAACCTTTCTGGATTACTGACGACCAAAATATATGAATAACCTTAAGCGGTATGGAGAGTCATTATCAATTGAACTTCCGTCGTGTGCACATCGACCAAAATTTAAGAGTGAGTTTTACATAATATGAATATTCTACTTGTTAAAATATTATCTAATATTCTACTTGTTAAAATATTATCTAATATTCTACTTGTTTAAATATTATCTAATATTCTAATATTCTACATAAATGAATATTCTACTTGTTTAAATATTATCTAACATTTCTAATAATTTATTTGTAACAATTAAACAATAAATTCTCTTTTATAACATTTCTAAGTTCTATTTAACATTTTTAATCAATCATTTGTAGTAATCGAGTCACTAATACATTTCTAAGAAATTTTCATTATCTGTATCGCATTATTAACAACCGAAAGATCAGATTAATGTCAATCGATACAGAGACAAGAACTTATTATGAATTGAATTTTTGTCGTGGCCACATCGACCAAAGTTGAAAGTTTGAAAAAAATTGTCAACTGTTTTGGATCACTGACGACAGAAATATATATTAACCTTGAACGGCCTCATTACGAATTAAACTTCTGTCGTGTGCACATCAACCAAATTTTAGAACTCTGAAAAAAATTATCAATTGTTCTTGATCACTGACGACTGAAACATAAGATTAACCTTGAGTGGTAATGAGGCTCATTATCAATCAAACTTCCGTCGTGTCCACATCGACCAAAATTTAGCAGAAGAATTATAAATAATATGTTTGCAACCAAACTTTAAACTACAATTCTGACTTCAACGATTGGTAAGTAATATGGTTTGGTTTCTTTGACGTTGCGTTAATACTTGATTGTGACTATTTGAACCTGAATACGAGTTCAATTTCTATGACTTGTATCGTAGTCGTACAAGATATGGTTTATTAGTTACCATTCTTTAACAATTACCGTGATATACGTTATGTTTCTGCATGTACACAGATAATATTAGTCTAAAAATACTATTGCTATTTACATACTTTCAGAATTTCTCTTCGAATTTATAATTTGGAAAATAATTTAGTCCTTCACTATTAGTTAGTCAAACAAGAATATTTCTTCAATATCATAAATTAGTCATTAGATCGATCAAACAATTCTGCCTCATTTTACGAATACCATTCCTCTTTCTAACAAATTACTTAAATTCAAGACAAGTTGAGAATCTCTGTGAGAAATATATGAAACAATACTGATTTACAATACAGTATAATGAGACTCGTGTGTAGTCACCTCTACGTTGTCTTGGTAATTGATATCGTTTTACAGACATTAAAGTTTGTAAAACGTTATCAAGCTAAATTATAAAACGATAAACTTTAATGTTTGTGAAACGATATCAAGCTAAGAACTACGCAACCTACAGTTCAGTTTAGATCGTGAAAATTTCTTTCCATTCTTTATTTCACGATCTAAACTGAACTGTAGGTACAATTAGTTGATAAGTAAACTATTTGACCCCGCACTGATGGACGACGAGGGATATCGCAGGGACATCGTGGGATGCGTGCGTTTAGTTTTAAGTTGCGTGCGTTTAGTTTTAGTTAATTATAAGACAGTTAATATCTGGGACGACGAGGGACATCGTGGGATGCGTGCGTCTTAGCTTTAAGTTGCGTGCGTTTAGTTTTAGTAAAATCACTGTGAACGCATTCTGTACAAAGACACGTTTATTTAACTTGAGACGAAATTATGGACACCTCCTCTTTTCTCTTTCTTCGTTCGTTGTTACTATCGTTACTGTCATAGCACTACAGTACAGTTACATTTGTTACTGTCATTGCACTAGAGTAGAGTTACATTTGTCACTGTCATTGCACTAGAGTAGAGTTACTTTTGATACTGTCATTGCACTAGAGTAGAGTTACATTTGTTACTGTCATTGCACTAGAGTAGAGTTACTTTTGATACTGTCATTGTACTAGAGTAGAGTTACATTTGTTACTGTCATTGCACTAGAGTAGAGTTACATTTGTTACTGTCATTGCACTAGAGTAGAGTNTACTTTTGTTACTGTCATTGCACTAGAGTAGAGTTTCCAACTGTCGCTGTCAGTGTGTCAAATTGGGTGACTGCAGCCTCGTCCAAAAGGACGAGGTAGGTTCTTGTAGTCTAGCGTCCTTTGTAATCCGACTCAGTGGTTCTTCGGAACCCCACTGTGTCGGTTGGGGGTAGCGCAAAGCTACTTGCCTCTAAATGCTCGAAACCCGATTTGGCATACTGGCAACGAAAGTTGGAAACTCTACTCTAATGCAATGACAGTAACAAACCACGGTTTTATTTCGCCTTATATCCCTTGCAAAACACGATATTAAAGTGTGTTAATAGTTTCATCTTCCTGATTTCGTTCAAAGTTCGATGAGCGTGTCTTTGATACAAAATGCGCTGTTAGGGCTGCGAATTATTGTACAATTGTTGTGTAACTTTCATGTTAGACGAGTGTGTGGTTAGTATGAAAGGCTGCGAGTGATTGCGATGTATTGTATGATTTACATTCGTATGGAAAGTATGGAATGTATGGAATGTATGGAATGTATGGAATGTATGGAATGTATGGAATGTATGGAATGTATGGAATATATGTAATGTATGGAATGTATGGAATATATGTAATGTATGGAATGTATGGAATGTATGTAAAGTATGTAATGTATGTGATGCATGACTGTGCGCAATGTATGTAACGTATGATCATATATAATGTATGTAATGTACGATTGTATGTAATGTATGTAATGTATGATTGTATGATTCTATGTATTGTATGATTGTTAACGTGATCGTTGTTCGGGAGACAGAGTTCCATGGTTCAATCTCATATATCCGCTTTAGAATTAAGATTTAGACTTAAGTTTGAGATCGAACTATGGAACGTTTCTCTCCTTAGTTCGTAACCCTGGGCCAAGTAAAATGAAATCTCGACATTCCTTAAGAATGCCGAGTTATTTGCATGTAATGGAGGGTGGTTGGGATTAGGGCCTGGGTGGGTCTCGTGCGTAGTCACCTCCTCGTGGTGAGACCTGGTAATTGATGTCTTTTTACCAACATTAAAGTTTTACAACCTTTAATGTTTGTAAAACGATATCAAGCAAAGAACTACGCAACCTACATTTCAGTTTAGATTATGAAAATTTTTTTCCATTCTTTATTTCACGATCTAAACTGAAGGTACAATTAATTGATAAGTAAATTATTTGACCCCCCAGCGGGGCACCGATGGACGACGAGGGATATCGCAGGGACATCATGGGATGCGTGCGTTTAGTTTTAAGTTGCGTGCGTTTAGTTTTAAATTGCGTGCGTTTAGTTTTAAGTTGCGTGCGTCTTAGTTTTAAGTTGCGTGCGTTTAATTTTAAGTTGCGTGTGTTTAATTTTAAGTTGCGTGCGTTTAGTTTTAGTTGATATCTGTTTAAGTTCTTTGTGAGCGCATTCTATATAATTTAGATTTTAATGAGTATTTCAAAATATGTGATTTGGTAAAACGCAGCAGACCTATTCCATATCTCCTTTTAGTTAAATATCTGGTCCATTCTAAATATATTTGGTATACCTGGATATATTATACAACATATAATATATAAAGAATTTATATAATATATAATGAATATAAGACATATGACATTTTTTATGTATTTTTCTGTAAATTCATCAATCAAATTACTCTACATTTCTTCATATTATATGTATTCTGTGTGAATTTCGTGCTGCAAAATTTCCTACAAATACATAAAAATTTCCAAAAGTTTTCTTTCATACACAGTAAATTGATAAAAATCCTTTACGATTCCTTCAAATAGTTTTGTCATTTAGAATCGGTATAAATTTTTTATTCTTCTCTATGATCATTACAAGTTCATAGTAATCCAATTGTAAGAGTAAAAGTCGACTAACACGACAAATTAATTAATCCACTTAACAAAATCGGACTCGTTTCGAAGTGTCACGTGATCCAGATATGTCACAAATTTTTCCACTTTTCCATTTTGATTAATGCAGCTGATCGAAATGAATTGACGCTACTTAAAACTTAAATTTGAAAAGACGATGGCGATTTTGTTCTGAGTATGAAGATTAATAAATAAGAACTTACTCTTTGAGGAAAGCGTTCTCGGTAGTGCAGGCTAAGGATTGAAGAATCGTAAGCTTCTCTGCGGAAAATGTCGATCGTTCATAGAGTTCCCACAAACGATCCCAAGACTTCCGGTCATTCTGTTCAGCAACCGCGCAGTAGGCTACGCTTCGAATATTTGGTGAAAAGCTGCGAAATAACATCCATGAAATAAATGAATTGCGTACAGTAGAATCTTTCATATCTTGAAAATACAAAATATAAAATTTACACAACTACTGTTACGGAATTCATTCTATAAAACATCCTATATTTGAAGAAGAAAATATATTTATTCTATGTATAATATTCTTTATTGTTATAAATATTAAATATTATATGTATAATTATATTATATATATTATATATATTCTATATAAAATATTCTTTATTGTTGAAAATATTAAATATTATATATGTAATTATTCTATATAAAATGTTCTTTATTGTTATAAATAAATTCTATCAGTTTGGATTTATAAAATGTAACTAGACTGCGAATGCATTTATGGAGAATTCGATGTTGTAAGAAACACATCGAATAAAATATCATGGAAAAGAGTATTAATTGTACATCTATGTAGAAGAAACAATTTTCTGTGTAGATTCCATTTCTTTTTAATTACGTTCGTAAATGTTCAAAAATTCATAAAAATCCACAGTCTAATTGCAACATGGAATTTTGTTAATTTTCATCCGTCTCTCATCGTTTGTCCAACTTAATTTGTCTCTTGGTATCAAATTGACGAAGTGATCCAAAATTAATATACACGACGAAAAGATAAACAGTTAAATTTCCAAATTCATTCATTAACAATAAATGAATAATTCTACTCAATTGTGGTTTTTGCTTTCAGACATAGATATTCAATTTTAATTCATTTTGTGATCATTTTATAAGAAAAATGTGCCAAATTGACAAGAGACAAATAAATCTATAAGGATTTAAGCAGTGTATAGAAGTATGAAGTTTGAAATAACAAGTAATTTAATTATAGTGAAAAAGTAGATAATTATGTTAGCACGAAGGGAAAATTCCAGTTCGTTGAAAAGCAACTTATATTGTTTCATTGATGAAACGAAAATATTCAGTTATTCAATTAAAAATGATACTAACTATGCTATAGTGTTGTTGTTCCAAGCTTTGAACTGATCCAGAGCTTTAGACTTGCAGTCTAATATGTCTAACTTGCATGCCCATCTGCGAACGTGAGATCTGAACAAAAGCTCAACGTGAGTTGAGTTTCCTTTATCCTCAAATTGAAGGTTTTCGTAAATCGGTGTCAAAAGCGAGCTTACGTATCGCTGTAACATAATAAAAAGGATTTGTTAAAAAATTACGTGACAAGGTAATTGTTCATTAACATGCCTATTCCTATTCGTTTGAGAGCTGTGACATAAAAATAAATTTTACAGAAGAACTTCCAAAACTAAAAAAAAAATACTAAGAGTTTAATGATTTATTTCTGTTAAAGAAAAAAGTGCAAGTTTTATACAGTGATAGACAAGAGGAAGTCTACAACAGAGACACTATGAGTATCAACCCCTAAGGATTCATGGAATTTTAAAAAACTATGTGATAAATTTTATTTTCTTATTTATTTTATTATTTTACTAGTTTATTTTCTTATTTGTTTTGTTATTTTACTAGTTTATTTTATTTTATTTATTTTATTATTTTACTAGTTTATTTTATTATTTATTTTATTATCTTATTATTTTATTATTTATTTTATTATTTTATTATATAAATATCTATAACTTTATACGAATTTATACGAATTTCATATAAATTTATTTTTATATTATTTTCCGAAGGAAAACTTCTATTTTTGTATTTATATATGTAAAAATTATGTATGTAAATTACACATGTAAAAATTAGCTACGTAATATTAGTTTTGCACATTGTAACAAATATAATTATTATGTGAACCTTAAGTGGTTAATGATCTACAATTTATATTTGTACTGTATCATTCACAGTGATTAATTCTGAGATATATTTCACGGTCAATCGTTGCTCTTGACAAATATAAATTCTGTCTTCGAAAAGATCTGCTATATATTCTTAAACTTTCTTTCTTCCTGACGAATTGAAAAATTACTTTCTGTTGAGTAAATGAAACAAAGAACCTGTCTCATCGATATTGCTTTATTTCTCGTTCTTTATTTTGAGATATACGTACCACAAACGCTTTGTAACCTTCCTTCCCTTCGAATTGCTTCTGCAAATAACTCAGGCCGTTGAAAAATGCGCGCCACGGAAGATATTCGTTCTCTTTGACCAGATATTCAGTCGCACGTAAAAGAGTTGAATAATGGACGTGTTTCACTCTGGCAAGATTGAACAAATCGTCGATGATGGTTGCACGATTAATCTCGCCTATTGTCCGATATCGATCGCTGTTCAAGATCCGGATTATTTTTTGCCAACTGTCGAGTGAATAGTTCACTCGATAGAACCCTGGAAATAATTTGTTTCATTTATCGTTACTGAAAAATGAAAAATGAAACGTGCCAGTACACTGAGAATATTTGTCCAAATTTATGTTTCCATGTAGGCAAGATGGAGAGCTTGGGAAGCTAATCAGTGTAAGTTATTTTCTATTAAAAATCACTGTCGAGATTTTCAGTCGTATCAGATGGTACAGTTGAGCAATCGTCTTAGTTCAGTGATAGTCACGTTATAATGATCATATTACTGAACTGAATTATTATTATTATCATTATTATTATTTTGCTTGAAAACTTCAGAAACTATAAAATTATGAAAGTGTATCAAAGTTATATTATGTTGTATTAATTATTATATTATTATAATTTACGTATCACCTTATTAAACAGAGTTTTCTTTCGTAACATAATTTAAAATTATTTATGAATTTATACCCTTCTAACTTAACTTTCAATTAATTGAAAAATCCATTTTTTTCATAAAATTCATAGAATCCAGATGAGAGAGAAGAAATATCAAGCGAACTTTGGAATTTATTTCAATTTCGCTCTAATTAAAGAAATCAAAGAGAAAATCGCAAATAAGATGTTGCGTTGTCTCTTAATGAGTTAAGCGGGAATTTTTATAAAAATTCATTTTTATTCATTTTTATAAAAATTCATTCGTGAAAATAGAATGTTCAGTACAGTATTTACCTGCTTGTCGAACGTTTAGCAAGTAGAGATCGCTCGTTGGTAACGTGATGCGGATTTCTCTCTGATCACGTTTGAACCAGTGTTTCGTCTTCGTATCAGAGAAGTTTGATTCGTTCAAATTGGTCCAAGTGATCGGTATGTGCCAACTTTCGGTCGACGAGTCTTCTGGATCCAAGAAGAATCTTTGTTGAGACAACACTAGATGATTACCATTTTGAATAGCTTGAACGACAGGATAACCGGACTGTATGGTCCAACTGTTCATAATGTCGGGGATCGAGTTTTTGATTTCTTCGTCCTCGATTTTTTCGCTGATCGCGTCGAAGAGATCTTCCGGCGTGGCCACGTCGTATTTTCTAAAACAATTCAGTACAAACTGTTCAGAGGATAGCTCTCTCGTCGTGTGAAGATTCTGCGTTGAAATAAGCAAGAAATATAAAAATAATAATATTATAATATTATAATAATATATAATAATATATAATAACTAACTATATACTTAATATATAATATTATAATATTATAATAATATATAATAATATATAATAACTAACTATATACTTAATATATAATAATATATAATAATTACAATTACAATATTAACTATAATAACAAAAAAATATAATATAGATATAATAATAAAAATATAAATATAAATATAATAATAAAAAAAAAATAATAATATTAATTATAATAATAAATCGTATTAGAATAAGTATAAAAAACATATGCTCTCCTTTTTTTATAATAGAAAATAAATGTAATTAAACATAATTGCATTTTCAGCGTTATATTTGACGATTTTTCGAGATATCTATAATAATTTATAGATAGCGTTGAAGTAACTGTGACAACTGATATTACGTGGAAGATAAGTATAAAAAAGTTAATCAGTCTATCGTATCGCATTTTAAATGCAGCGAAATTTTACTATCGTTCTTACAAATCTGTCTGTACGAGAGAATGTTTGATGAATGAATAAGTCTGACCAAAGCGTCTGATTCTACTTGGGATTTGCGCTAGCGTTTCTCAAAGGAACTGCAAGTGATACTTTTGAAATTTTTGATCGTTATTTACAATCTCATTGTTAATTAACACTTGATGAATGTATTACTTGTTAAGTTTATCATATTACTTGTTGAAAATTCGATTTGCTCGAATTTGGCTCGACACAGAACTTCGAGGGAGTTACGAAAGCACAAAAATACATACGAGTTTATTTGTTGCTTGCCATTAGTCCAAATCTTACCGTTTACGTAGATAAATCTCGAGAGCCTCGTGGAACGATTTGGTACCCAACATGTTCTCCATCATTCTTATCACACTGGCAGCTTTACCGTAAGATATCGTGTCGAATATCCCTCTGATTTGCGTTGGACTCCAGACGTCGTGGGTCATAGGATGAGTGGATGCTGAACTGTCTACCTCGAGAGCCGAATGGACCTGTTCCACGACGAACTGACCCTCCACTGACCATTTAGTATTCTCCTAATAGATACAACGACACGTAGTCACTAAGTCTTTGACAAATTTAAATTAATTAATTTTATTTCATCGATACTCGATTAAAATCAATCGTAATAAAAAAATATAATATAGATATAATAATAAAAATATAAATATAATAATATGAATAAAAATATAAATATAAATATAATAATATATAATATATATTATAAAAATATAATATAAATATAATAATATATAATATATATATTATAAAAATATAATATAGATATAATAATAAAAATATAAATATAAATATAATAATATATAATATATATTATAAAAATATAATATAAATATAATAATATATAATATATATATTGTAAAAATATAATATAGATATAATAATAAAAATATAAATATAATAGTATATAATATATCGAGTAATAATCATGCGTTATTAAAATGATAGTACGAACTAAATTAAGGGGGCAGGACAGTTTAGATCCTAAAAATTACGAATACTTTGGAGGGCTAAAAAAGAAAAGTACATATTTGATTGACATGAGCTTTTGTGGTTTATTTTGACACATTATGAACTATAAGAAGCAACATTAAAAGAGAAAAAAGAAGGGCTCTTATTTAACTTTTTGACGATATCCTATTACGTAACTTTTTCTTAGATTGTCTATCGGTGTGCATGATTCCAGCCAAACAGGATCAGTTTATCAACAAAAAGGCAAGAAAAGTTCAAAAATAAACAATATTCTCTAGGGACTGACGATCCAACATTTTCATTTTTGTGAAAATTATGAAAATAGCAGCTATTTGTTTCTGACGTATCGAATTTATGCCAAAAATCTCTACAGTTTTTTGTTTATATTTTTCGAAATTGTTAAAAATTAGAAAATTCTCTATCGTCAATTCGTAGTAAATGTTACACTAAAGATACGTACCAAGTTTCACAGTAATCGATTGGTTAGATACCGAGATATCTTGCACACAGTTTCTAAAAACTTAGTTTCGAGAAAAACTGCGTTTGAAGTTTCAGATCGTCATTTTTCATATGTATCATTTACCTACTTTTTTTACTTGTATATCGCGGCTCACAGTTCTTACAATTCACAACTAAATTGAACCCAAGCCCCCTAATATTCGATTCACCAAAAGTAATTTTTTGAATCACACGATTTACACTTTAATAATAAAAGCTTAAAATTGTAAACAGTGATAGAAATTCAATTATTCTGTATCCGTGGCGGAATTATTATTATTATACCCCAAAATAAGTCGTTTCAAAGACTAGGACCTTTTCTATCTTATTTTTAAGACTTCAACCTACTATTTGAAACAAAACAAAATCGATTTTGTGAAATTTTCAAACTGTCCTGACCCTTTAATAAGTTGACTTGGCACAGAGAAACACGTACTTACAGGATGCATTGCAAAATATTGGAAGTATCTCGCGAATCCTTCGTTCAACCATAGATACTTCCACCATTTTGGGCTGACGAGGTTTCCAAACCATTGGTGAGCGATTTCGTGCGCTATCACGTTCGCTATACTCTGTTTCGAGGCTGCGGTCGACAGTTCTCTATCAAATAGCAGGTTTCTCTCCTTGTAAGTCAACAGACCCCAATTCTCCATTGCGCCTGACACAAAGTCGGGCAACGCGACCATGTCCAGTTTAGGTAATTGATAAGGAATGTGCAGTATTCCCTCGAAATAGCTGACGAGCGGTTTCATAATGGACAGAGCGAATTTCCCGTTTTCTATTGCGTTCTGCCTTACCAATACTTCATAGATTCCTTCCTTCACCGAGGTAAAATCAGAGATTACCAAAGCGACCAAGTACGTCGACATTTTCGGAGTTTCCTCGAAGGTGATACTCCTTGTATTCCTACAAAATTCGATCAAGTGACTAACTTCGTCTTCGATCGTTATGGGCGTTATTCGTTCGACATTTTGAAATTATTTATCTTTAAACGTTATTGTCGAAGAAATTTATTTTTTATGAGTAATTAAGTATCTAAATTAAAGTAATATGCCCTTCCATTTAGATTTTAAAGTAATATTTAATAAGTAATTAAATATTTAAATTAAAGTAATATGCCCTTTCATTTAGACTTTAAAGTAATATTTAATAAGTAATTAAGTATCTAAAATAATATGCCCTTTCATTTAGACTTTAAAGTAATATTTAATAAGTAATTAAATATTTAAATTAAAGTACTATACACTTCCATTTAGACTTTAAAGTAATATTTAATAAGTTATTAAATATTTAAATTAAGATAATATGCCCTTCCATTTAGACTTTAAAGTAATATTTAATAAATAATTAAGTATCTAAATTAAAATAATATGCCCTTCCATTTAGACTTTAAAGTAATATTTAATAAATAATTAAGTATCTAAATTAAAATAATATGCTCTTCCATTTAGACTTTAAAGTAATTAAATATCTAAATTAAAGTAATATTTAATTAATATTGGTATTTAGTATTAATTAATATTTAATTTAATTTCAAATAATAAATATGTAATATTTAATATTTAATTCAATTTCATTGCTCAATCAACACTGTGTTTGTTAGAAATGCAAATGGGCAATGAGTTTATGTGAAATAAATATTTTATATTTACGCACTTATTTGAAGAGGAAGATTTGATTGGCATGTTGCTGGTGGCATTATATTCCTGCGGTATTAGGACATTCATTGTGAAATTTGCTTTGATTGCTGGCTCATCGAAACACGGGAACATTTTTCGAGCACCAACTGGTTCCATGTGCGTAGCAGCTAACCATCTGTGAAATAAACATATTATGTTATGTATTAATATTTAATATTATATTTTGTAATACAATTAATTTGTATATTAATTAATTAAATGTATTAATATTTGATATTGTATTATGTAATATAATATTAAATATTAATACATATTAATGTTAATATATTTAATATAATGTTTAATATAATATAATATAATATAAATTTAATATAATGTTTAATATAATATAATTAATATATTTAATATTAATGTTAATATTAAATATACATATTAATTTATGTATTAATTAATTATATTTAATACTACGTATCAATATTAAATTTACATATTAATTTGATTCAAGTGTATTAACTACCAAGGTAATCAAAATGACTAGTTTATCATTTTTATACACTTGTAGTATATGTATTAGAGTATTTTAAATGATTTTTAAAGACACGCTTCTTTCAATTTTTTAATAACACATTCGATTCCGATTATTTTATTCCGATATAAACGTTTGATCAAATTACTCCTTTAATCCTCAAATATATATATTTTCATCGTGAATAAGTTTTCGATCTTTAAAAATATTTGTTAGGAATGAAATGAAATAAAAATAATAACAGAGTAATAAAATAAAAACAAAAAGCTTCTAAAGAGTAAATAGAATAACCAATAAAGTAAAATGAAAACTCGTTGTAACTGTGAAAGAAAATAAATTGATCCCTTACCTTTTCTTGCCATTGTTATCGATGTACCAGCTTCTATAAAGTCCGCGCATTTCTTCTTCGTTCATATGCCCCGTGAATTCTATCGAGATGGACAGTCTCTGTCCGACTTGTACCTCCTCGGAAAGATGGATTACCAGAAAGTCATACTTCTCGTGGATATTAGTTTCCGCTATGGGAATCACCTTATCGTTTGCGTACAAACGAATATTCTGGTGGATCAGGTCCACCGAGTGCAAAGTGATAGTCTTCGTTCTACTCATGACGATCGCGTCGATATCCACCGATCCTGTGAACGTAAAGTTGTCGAGTTCGGTCAGGTTCGTGTTTATCGAAATGTTGTACGAGTTCGGAGTTATGCTCGTCGGCAAACGATAACTTATGGTGTTGTTCAGTTGTTCGTTGTTGAAATCATTTACCCACGACGTAATTGCTTTCGTGTGTCTTTTCAACCACTGCAACTCGTATCTCGCCAGTTCCAACGAACTGTTCAACGAGTCCGCGATATCCTTAAACTCGGTCTTACGATTTTTGATCAGACTGTCGTATTTGTCTACCAAACTCACGGTGGAGAAACGTCTCGAAGCTGACGACAGGATGCTGGAAATTGTCCCGGTTCCGTTGTAACTAAAACAGACGTTTCGTTCTATAATATGAATTTTGTTTATTATTACTTTCTTTATATATTATTACTTTTAATTTTACTCTTATTTTTATTTATTATTATATTTTATATATTATTATTTTTAATTTTATTCTTATTTATATTTATTATTGTTTCATATTTATTTTATTTTATTATTATTTTCTTTATATATTATTATTTTTAATTTTATTCTTATTTTTATTTATTATTATATTTTATATATTATTATTTTTAATTTTATTCTTATTTATATTTATTATTGTTTCATATTAATTTTATTTTATTATTATTTTCTTTATATATTATTATTTTTAATTTTATTCTTATTTTTATTTATTATTATATTTTATATACTATTATGTTTAATTTTATTCTTATTTATATTTATGACTGTTTAATATTAATTTTATTTTATTATTATTTTCTTTATATATTATTACTTTCAATTTTATTCTTATTTTTATTTGTTATTATATTTTATATATTATTATTTTTAATTTTATACTTATTTATATTTATTATTGTTTCACATTAATTTTATTATTATTTTTATTTTATCATTACTTTTTTCATATATCATTATTTTTAATTTCATTCTTATTTTTATTTATTATTATTTCATATTAATTTTATTTATTATTATTTTTACTTTATCATTATTTTTTTCATATATCATTATTTTTAATTTCATTCTTATTTTTATTTATTGTTATTTCATATTAATTTTATTTATTATTATTTTTATTTTATCACTATTTTTTTCGTATATCATTATTCCTAATTTTATTATTATTTCATATTAATTTTATTTATTATTTTTTATTATACTGATACACTGACTGTAATAATAAGCAAAGAGCTTTATTTATTTTAAATAAATAAGAAGTGTAAAACGACGAATGTTCTTTCCATAGACTTACAATTTCACCATTTCAGCGTGATACTTGGCGACGAAATCCAGCACAAACTCTGCGCCGAATATATTGGAACCATAAACCGCAGAGAATACAGCAGTATGGTCTTGCAGTCGAATTCTATTTTCTTCGAAATTTTTGAGCGCGTTTAACAGGTGTCTGTAAAAATGATACAGCAAAATTGTAAATTATAAATAATATTCATGTCTAACAAACGAACTGCCGATGTTTATTGGTTTATGTGAAATTTATATATCGAAATATGTAAACATGCACATTGTACGTAGAAAAATATAATAAAAAATTAATATAATATAAATATTATACATATACTACATAAAATATATATAAATATATGTTTATAATAATTAAAATAATATAAAAAAATAAATATATATAGAATATTAATTAAAATATATATAAAATATATATAAAATATATATTATAAGTATAATAAATAATATAATAAAATATTCGAAAGTTATAAAATATTCAAAAGTATCGTCGTTTGTGCTAAGATATGTAGTGGATGAAAAAAAAAATTTCAGTTCCAAGTTCTGCTTTTTTAGTCCTTTACTGTCCTCGATATTAATTTTCCTATCTCAAATATTTTAAATATTTGTAACATAATAACCAATTCTTATTTTCTCGTTTGCGTCTCTGTAACACTATTATTTAATTCTCATAAACATCGATAGTCTGGAAATGACAAGTACGAAGAGAATGACTGACCTTTCTAAGAGAGTTTTATTCGGTGTACAACCGAGTGCCTCTAGTATGACCACTTGTTCAGTCGCGGAGTTCGATTTGTAATATTCACGCCATAAGAACTCCCAGTCTTCTTTCGTTCCATATCTCACTCCCATGCAATATGCGACGGGTCGTTGGTTCGGTTTAATTCTGAAACATAAAATGGCCAAAGTTTGGTCATTTAGATTTTTGTTATTTCTATCGTCGCAGATGGAATATTGTACGTTCCATTTGTGAAACAATTTTCTCGTTAAGATTTCAGAAAAAAGTTGAAAACTCCTTTCAAAATCATGTGCTAAGTTGCGATGGAGAAGTATGAATTCAGATACTCAGAGGTGAGTGGTTAAAAATTAATATAAAAAGGGCAATTCATTTAATATTATTATTACACATTAATACTTGAGGATTGTATCATAATTATATATATATATATATATATATATATATATATATATATATATATATATATTATATATATTATATATATATATATATATA